TAAAAACCTGGATGTTCCGGTGCGTTTTTGACTAAGCAGCTCAACAGTAACTTTCTTGTCCCTACTTGAAGTTCCGCACTTTACACTGGCATACGTTCTACCTTAACATGTGTTATGACAGTATTTCCTGCCCAATTTCCCATATTGTTGCACTTTCCTGCGCTCCTTTAAAAATGTATTGCACTCATTGAATCTGTACCTCAGCTATGTTTCTTTCAGCCGTAGTTTTTATATTGCTTTCAATTGTGTTGTTATTTGTTTTATCTGATGTTTTAATTGGTTAAAAGTGTTTTACATGTGTGTTTTAATTGTAATCTTGGGTGTGTCCCTTGTAAGCCGTCCCAAGTCCCCTAGGGGAGATGGATGGCGGGGTATAAAAATAAAATTATTATTATTGTTGTTGTGATGAGGTGGCTTGTGTGTTCCAAAGAACCTGTGGGCATAACCACCGGAGTAATGCACTCCCATTGGGGGAGGGGGCTGCAGGGAAGGTTCCAGACAGCACACAATCCAAAAACCTCAATGGTGGATCTGGCGGAAGATAACATGGTCCATGGCTATGAGGGCAGAAGACAGCTGCAACAGACTAAGAAGTCACCGTCATCGTGTTCACCATGCCACTGGTTGGGACCCTCACTCTGTGAAGACTGTGTGTTGATTGGCTGTGCATCAACCCCCACACATTAAAAAAACCCTCATGCACAGATGTCTTCCAAGAACTTGGAAGGCCAGGATACTCGGACAACGAGGGATCGCCTACATAAGTAAGAGTCTTGAATCACACCTTGAAAGGTATTAATCAATAAATTCCATAGTACTGAAAAAACTTTCCAGGGCAATAGGAATGACTTCCATTCTTAGAATCAGAATCTTGGATAGAACCATAGAGGAGTAAACAACTAAAGTATGAAATATGCCCATTCAACCTCTCTTTAAAATCCTCCAAAAAAGGAAAATCCACATGTATTGCCCTCATTGCTCCGAAGGACTTACTTCCGCATAATCTATAAGATTGCAATCTATATGTTTTCAAGCATTCTTTAATTCCCTACAGTATTGATTGTAGAAAACAGAGAAATAAAGCCCTGCAGTGTGATTAGCAATTTATAAATTATAATATTTAACAGTAAGAAAAATATATCCTTAAATTTCACAGTCGATACAAAAAGGCACTAATCCATTTCACCCAGAACATTTTTCTGCATTTCTTCCAAAACTTTGCAATGGAAATATGGCATAATATTTTCTAATGTCCAAATATCAGTGGCTCTGGGCCTTGAACTACAGCTGAAGGGCCTCAGGCTAAGATGTAGTCTAGAAAACTATGGAAGAGGCTATCTGACTGTACTGGCCATGAAACCCACTTCAAATGCAGAGCTCATTAATCATGATGCCTCTGGATCAATAGGGCTGGTGTAGAAACTTACTTTGCCAGATCAAGTGGGAAAGATATTCTCAGTTGCAAAGTGGAAAAGTCCTCAGAAAAACAGCACAAACAGGATAACTTTCTGCTTTGAAAATCTCAATCACAAATAGTTAAGAAGATGGCTTTACAAAACAAAACAAAAAGGAAACATACTGAATTTCCTCGGTGCTTCCACCTGGACCCCTTCATTGTAAAATGAGGACAGCTATATAGCCACTTGAATGGCAAGTTCAGTATTTCTAAAAATATATATATATTCCAAGAGACTGCAGCATTTAAATAATTTCTCCCTTAAAATTCAGTATATTGCATTTCTCATTCTCTTTTTGTTCATCAGAGACTCAGGTCATGAAGACTCACAGGTGAGTTTCTTCCTGTTCCCAAGGATGTGGAGGGATGTGAAAAGAAGCTGGAAGAGATGCTATCTTTTGAAGTTTAGGACGTTGTGCAGGTTTGGGTCTGTGGAATGAACGTCGACTTTGCACTCGCCTTGCCGTTGCAGATCGGTTGTGGGCTTGTACATTAAATGGCCATTTTTTATCTTGGGAGTTCCAATAACCAGATTCCACTAATCCTCCAGATTCAGGAACAGAATGGTCAAACTGTGGACTTACTGGGTCATAGTTAGTGTCAGTAGAGTAATTTGTATTCAAATGTGTTTGATCATCAGTGTTGAAGACTGTCTGCCACTGGAGGTCAGGTAGTTCCTGATGAGAATGAGTCAAGAACTCAGAATATCCCCTGTCTTCTTCCAAAGGTGTGCAGTCCTGTTGCCACACGGAGTCTAAGTTGTGGTATTCACCTGACAAGGAAGCATCAGGTCTTGTTTGTTCATATTCCCAAGGAAGGAGCATTTCATCCGAAGAATATCCTGATAGCAAAGTATCAAATGCAGAATCACCTGTGGAAGGAAAAAGGCCTTGTTTAGTTGGAGTTTATACTAAACAATGCTGCTTTTCATACTGGGAAACTTATGAATCTATCCAGGGAAGGCAATACGCTATCAGAGGCCAGAGATTACAAATGAACAGCTCTCTATTTCTTTTATTCTAGCACCACCAAGTGGACATTTAACCAGTCTTGAGTGCATATAAATTAAAATAGTAGCATTATTCGCATATGCATTTGAGACACAATCCAGTCCATCCAAGAGAGGTAATGAGAATTCATGTAAGGAGAATTCCCATGGGTTCAATATCACCCTGTTAGTCCCTCTCCCATGCCTATGTAAGAACAGAGCTCTGGAGGAATGAGGATCTCTTTCCCCTTCTTTCAGCTTCTTTTTTTATTAGATACAAATTATGCAGAGAATAAATAAATTCCATTAAGACAGTGTTTCTCAACCTGGGGGTTGGGACCCCTGGAGGGGTCATGAGGGGGGTTTCAGAGGGGTCACCAAAAACAATCAGAAAACACATATTTCTGATGGTTTTAGGATCACTTTTGGCAGAGAACACTGAAGATCTTTCTGCCTGTCCTTCTCTTCCTTTTTGGTGTTGGTGAACTACAACTCCCAGAATTCAAAAACAGATCCATTTCCCCCCACCCCACTAGTATTCAATGTTGGCCATGTAGGTAATGTGCCAAGTTTGGTGCAGATCCATTATTGGTTGGGTTCAGAGTGCTCTTTGATTGTAGTTTAACTATAAATCCCAGCAACGACAACTCCCAAATGTCACAGTCTATTATCCCCAAACTCCACATTTGGGCATATTGAGTGTCCGTACCAAGTTGGGTCCAGATCCATCACTGTGAGTCCACCGTGCTCTCTCATTGTAGGTGAACTACAACTCCCAAACTCAAGGTAAAATTCCCAAACCCTTCCAGTATCTTCCGTTGGTTATAGGAGTTCTGTGTGCCAAGTTTGGTTCAATTCCATTGTTGGCGGAGTTCAGAATGCTCTCTGATTGTAGGTGAATTACAAATCCTAGCAACTACAACTCCCAAATAACAAAATCGGTCCCCCCCAAACCCCACCAGTATTCAAATGTGGGCGTATTGGGTATTTATGCCAAGTCTGGTCCAGTGAATGAATATACATCCTGCATATCAGATATTTACATTATGATACATAACAATAGCAAAACTACAGTTATGAAGTAGCAGCGCAAATAATGTTATGGTTGGGGGTTACCACAACAGGAGGAACTGAATTAAGGGGTCGCAGCATTTGGGAGGTTGAGAAACACTGCATTAAGTGGAGCAGAAGGGGTAAGACAGATCAGGAAGATACAAACATCCTTTGCATCCATCTCAGTGGTAGTCTTTGATTCCTTAATGCCAAGTGGGGAAATACTCCCTTCTTCAGCACCTCTACGAATTCTCTGCATATAGATGTATAAAATAGATGTATAAAAAACCGAAATAATTTTATTTATAATTTGAATTCTTAAACATTTCCAGGGATAAAGCATAGAGCAGGAGAAAATTTATAAGAAAACTATACACATTTGGCAAATATTTCCAGGGAACCGTACACTCTAAGACCCCATATGCCTCTATGCCGCCCACCTATTATGCACATCACCACAAATACAATGTGTATCAATTTCCCAAATAGTTCAATCACAATTCCCAAAGGATTTCCCAAGAAAGGTAGTTAAGAAGAAAGAAAAAGTAAGAACAGGAGCCATCACCCAGGATAAGCTAAGCGAGTATCAAAGATGACAACAGTGGAACTCTTCTGTCACAAGATGTTGTCCTTGCCGAATTAAAAGATTACCACAGTGGGCCTCCTTATAATGAAAAAGTTTCTCGATGTGGCTATGAGATCTAGCGCATGTTATACTTTGATGCCCTACAACTTTAGTTGAGGAGCAAAATTTTGTAATCCACCTTAGGAAGTTGCCCAGAAAGATCAAATCTCAAAAGTTCATAATGCTATTACAACATAAAAATAAATGTGTAACATGTCAAATAACAAAATTTATCACTCTGGTTCTAAAATCTAACAACAAACCCAAAATGTTTGTTGTCCAGTTCTTATATAGAAATGACAGGTACAATACCTCACTTTGGATTTACTTTTATTAGATATTAAATTGGTAACTTCAGTCAAATTCATTCTCTATTTTTTAATTTTTAATATATTGTTTTATTGTATTCCACATGGATATGAATTTACTTACTATGGGCATTTTATAGGATGTTTCATTATAATGTAATATTATTCTTGTTTGCTATGACTTTGTGCTAGGAATATATTTGAAATTGAACTGAATTAAATTTGCTTAAAAACACAAAATCTGAGGCTAATTACAGAGATTATAGGGAAGATAAAAATAGGAAATAATGTTTTCAAAAAAGAATTTAGACAAATGTTTTTTGGGAAATGCTAAAATCACTAAATCAAAATGTGAAAAAGATAAAACGAGCAAATTTTTTTTTTTAGGATGCAAGAACATATAACCTAACAATTTGGTTTTCAAGTATAAGATGTTTAAAAAAGAGAAGGGAAGAAGACTACACCAAAGGAATCTAAGAATGAGGGAAAAGTCTTTGGAAACTGATTTAAGATTAGATAGAAAGAGAATGATTGATTACAAAAAAGGAGAAAAAAGTCATGTTCAAAATATTACATGTGTGTTGAATCTGGGAGGAAGGTTCTAGGTCGTTCTTCGGGACCATCTATTTGAAAAAAGGAATCTATGGATCTATTGCTCAGTCGGATAGGGGCAAGCCGTTGGAAGTTGTTTGGAGAATAAGGTATTTGCACGCGGGCCCTTTGGGATGGCACCACCATCTCTTCAGAAGATAGCCAAGGTGGAAACCTCATGGAGGCATTTGGTTCAACGTCGGCTGAAAACACTGGATTATCAATACCTATGAAAATCCATGAATGAAAAATTCAGTTAGGTAACAATGAGCAGGCTCAGTAGCATATGACCTTCTCCATGCCGAAACTTGTTGGGAAAAATATTTGCATTGTTTTTAATATTTATTTATTTATACTCCGCTTTATCTCTCTCGAAGGAGACTCAAAGTGGCTTGAAATAAAAGCATTAGCATACAATTTAAAATATACAAATATGAGAACAGAATTAAATTATAAACAGTATTATGAAATTGAATTATATGGCAGTGTAGATCCATCTGCAGGGTGGTTTTTATCGTCCTTCTGAAAGGCCTGCTTTGAATCCAGAGCCAATGCTGGACAAGCAGGGAAGGCTTGTCCAGCATTGCTATACAAGTCTGCTATACAAGTCTCTATACAAGTCTCAGGTTTAGTACAACCTTTAAATTATTTGTAAATAGTTGTTTTCATCTGCCTTGGTGCTTTTGTTGTCTTCAACCAACTAACCAAACCACAATCACAGTACCTTAACTAGTTCATCTCGCTTATCTCCTTTCCCCAAATCACACAGGGAGAAGTTTCAGGACTCCTTAGTATCACTTTTTTAAATTTAAAAAATGAACTGTAGTTGTTTCAGGGTTCATAATAAGAGTCAAATTTTCATTCGGTCTCCCCATCATTTCAGTAATGAGTTATCAGGAATATCAGAAACACCTCATCCATTAGCTATCTCTGACCAACAAGACACTCATGATCTTCTAATAAACCTGAAGGTTATGTCACACTGTAGCCTAAAATTAGAAGTTCAAAATCTTGGCACCCTGTCCCCAGGCAAATATTCATTACAACCAGGAAGTGAAAGCCTATGTGTTGCCAATATCCACTGTTTTCAATAGTGTCTTCACATTTCCATAATATATCCTTATTTGGCAAACATCTGCTTGATCTAACAACAATTCCAAACTATTAGAACTAGTACAGTGAACAATGTGCAAGAGCACTGGTGTACTAACAACTACTTTTCAATTTAGCAACTTGTGTATGTATACCAGTATAAACACTTCTACGGTTTGATCTTTATCCTTTATCTTTATTCTTGCCAATTTATGAATAAGTACCGTATATTCCGGCATATAAGACGACTGGGGGTATAAGACGACCCCCAACTTTTCCAGTTAAAATATAGAATTTGGGATATACTCGCCGTATAAGACTACCCCTCTTCCAACAAACAGCAAATAAATTTTGTAAATGCATCAGATTTGATTTCAATATGGTAATTTTCCTATTACTGTACCTCCTTCTCTGCCTCTCAGATCTCGCACATGTGCACCTGCACCACATCACTGTAGTCTTCAGGAGCGAGATCTGAGAGGCAGAGGAGGAGGTATGGTAATAGGGATACAAGGGTGGGCCAGACAGGTAAAAGTGGTGTGTTTTTCTGGGCCCAGAGCCACTCTATTTCTTTTTTCCATACCCCGGGCGCCCCGGATGCCTGCAGCTTGCACCTTCCCAGTGAAGCGCCCCTTCATCTCACCATCGGGACCGCATTAAGTCCACGAATCCTGATGAATGGATTTTCTTCCACCGTACTTATACAGCGTCGCCCTTAATGCTTTCATACAGTCACTGCATATGGCAGGGATGCGGCCACTGCCATTTTTGAGCTCCCCCCACAATATGCAGCAACCACAGATTCTCCAATTCGGATTGGCAGTTTCAGCACCCACTCTATAAGATGACTCCTGACGTATAAGACTACTCCTGCATATAAGACGGCTCCCATGCATAAGGCTACTCCCATGTATAAGAATATTCTCGCGTATAAGAAGACCCACGCATATAAGACGACCCTTGACTTTTGAGAAGATTTTCTTGGGTTAAAAAGTAGTCTTATATGCCAGAATATACGGCAGTCTCCATTTTGTAGAACCACAGTACATTACGTCTGCTGTGCACATTCCACACAATTAAAAGATGGCTTTTTGCTCTTGTTATTACCTTTGACAAATATGGGAGAATGCACACAAACAAAACCAAATGTTTTTACAATACGAAATTGAGTACTCATTTCCTTACCACTTGTGTCTGTGAAATTCTGCTTGGTGACATTAGCTAAGAAGTCCATTGCTAGCCCTGTTTGTCGAGGATCATAATCATTCTCTTCTGGTTCAGAAATCTCAATTTCTACAGGAGAAATTAAAAAATAAGTAAATATACAGTAGAGATTAATCATTTATTTATTACAAGTATAACTCATTCTAGGGATGCATCTTTGGATACATTGTTGAAAGCAAATTTAATCTTACAGATATGAAAACTCTGATAGGGAATTATTTTGATCCTACAATATTATGTTTTATGAATCTTGGAAAGAATTATAGAATCATAAAATAATTTTATGGACTTCTCACAGACTCCCCCCCCCCCAAGAGTATTTATTTTATTGTCAAATAGTAAGAAATAGTAAATAATTTCTTTCTAATTTTAAGTGGAATCTCTTTGTTTGAAATTTGAATCTGGTTCTCATTCTTATTTCTGGAGAAGAAGAAAACAAGTGCACTCCATCTTCTATAGGATATCAGATATTGAAGGTCTTCATGTCATATCTCAGTCTTCTCCAAACTAAACATACTCAGGTCCCTGAGTTGTTCCTTGGAGGACTTGAATTCTACACCGTTGATCATCTTGGTCTTCATATCTACTGAACACATTCCAGCTGTTGAATTGTGGTGCCCAGAACTAGACAAAGTAGTCTAGTTGAGATCTAACCAAAGCAGAATAAATTGGAGATACTACTTCTCTTGACCTGGGCACCATAGTTCTCTTGGATTTTATTGGTTTTTATGTCCTCCACATTTCTCTATTGGCTACTGTTAACCTACTAAGATCTTCCAGATTCTTTAAACCTGTATTGTTTTCAAGTCAGATGCCACTTATCTTGCATTTGTACATTTTTCCTCCTAGACCTGACATGTCTTCCTGCTGAAATTGATTATATTCAGCAGGCTTCATTCAATATGAACTAATTCCTAAAGAGGTTTGGCCAGAACATCGCTAATACACAGCAGAATTTCACAGCCCGTACAATAAAAGAATTGAAAGTCAAATCCTTCATGATAAAAAAACAGCCACCTTATGTCCAGACCATTATAATATAGTTAAAGAGCATTGGCAGGGGCTTTCTAGGCTGGCAAAAAGGGTCATTTCTAATTTTGACAGGAGATAGCAAGTACCCAAAATTGTTTGGTGGTTAAAAACAGTTTTCTGCCATGATGAAAGGTATTTGAAATAATAATAATAATAGTAATAATAATATGCAATAAATAAATATATAAGCAATCCCAAACAAAGTTTGTGAAAGTTCAGGGTTATCTCAGTAACCACTAAGAGGCATCTAAATAAAATTTTCCAGGTTCGGTTTGTATTGCCCCAAATGTGGCGAAATGTCTACCTAGTTTTGGAAGTTGTGAAATTTACTTATGATTACAATGCTGATAAATCGATGTCTATATTTCACCTAAGTCTTACTTTACTATAGCATATATAGCAAAAATAGACCATATATATATACCAGGAGTGAAATACATATTGTAAAGTGGAAAGAATGCTGTGGTGTCACTGAAAGTATATTAATTTTCAATCATTCTATTTGGTTTTTTAAAAAACCAGATTATCAAATTATATATTTTTATCTTCTCATCACTATGCTTTTAAATTGTAAATAAGAGAAGTAATATCATATCGAACCCATAATTAATATGCAAATGTCAGCCAACACTATTTCACTGTTCCTTCTTAAAATGTATAATCTCCAAATGGAGCCCCTGGTGACATAATGGATTAATCCATTGTGCCGGCAGTACTGCAAACTGACAAGTCAGTGATTCGAATCCGGGGAGAGCGGATTTAATTCCCTCTGTCAGCTCCAGATCCCAATTGGGGACATGAGAGAAGCTTCCAACAAGGATGGTAAAACATCAAACATCCGGGCGTCCCCTGGGCAACGTCCTTGCAGATAGCCAATTCTCTCACACCAGAAGCGACTTGCAGTTTCTCAAGTTGCTCCTGACATGAAAAAAAAAAATCTCCAGATATTGTTTTATCGTGTGCTTACCTTTATCGTTTATGGCTTCTGTGGGCAGATTTCCATTTGGAATGACATTGCTATTTTTCTGAAATAAGAAAAAAAATAAGAGATAAATCCTTTCTGGAAAGTAGAAGTCTTTTAGTGAACCCAAATATTTCACTGGGACATAATTCTATTTATCATATAACAAAAGGTGTTGTAAAGCTTATACAGCATTTTATTTTGGAACTAGTATATTTAGACTGAGGTTTAAATATCCTGAAGCTGTAAGATCCCATCTGATTTTGGAAATTAGGCAAGGTCAGGTTGATTAGTGCTTGGATGGGAGATGACTGATGAATACCAGTGTTTTTGTCGTTGTTATTGTGTACCTTCCAGCTTATGGCAAACCTATCATGTGGTTCTCTTGGCAAGATTTGTCAGGAAAGTTTGCCTTTGACTTCCACTGAGGTTGAGGCTGGATCTACACTGCCCAATATCCCTGGATATGATCCCAGATTAGCTGCTTATCCCAGATTATCTGGCAGTGTAGACTCATATAATCCAGTTCAAAGCAGATAATCTAGGAGCAGATCCTGGAATACAGGATAGCATAGAAGGGGCCTGAGAGAATGTGACCTGCCCAAGATCACTCAGTGGTTTTCCATCGGAAAACTGGGATTTTAATCTTGTTCTCCAGACAGCTAGTCCTGTGCTCAAACCACTGCACATTGGTGCACAGTGTAATGACTCCCTTACCTTAGCTGGCTGGCTGAAGCCTAAGGGAGTAGGCCTGGCGAAGCCACAGTGTCCATTTTAGAAAAGGGAGCTGGGTGGAAGCCATTTTAGTTAGGTTTTCCTTGATATTCAAGTCTTAGAGGGAAAATAAGGAGACTACGATTGGCTAGAAAAATGGGGGCAGAGCCTAAGTGTTCTAGAGGGGATAGATAGATACGTTTTATTGATTGGCCTATTGGCCGTATCAAAACATTTAACACATAACACAATTAACACATAGTCATACATAGTCATACATACAACATACAACCCTCGGTATAAAAGGAGTTAAAATAAACAAGCTGTCAACAGGATCTCGTTCAGATCAAATGTCTGCATCACCTCCACAGTTTACCCCAATTGATTCTAAATGTGCAATTCTCAGCTGTGTTGCTTTGAATAGAAAAAGGGCTGTTTTGTGTGTTATTTTAGGGTTCTGTCCGGCCAACAAAAATGAGGTTTTAATATATGGGTCCCAGTGTGTTTTTTGAATAATGTATGGTCCAAGGCAATGGTCTCTCTCTTTCTTATACAGCTCACAGTTGAACAATACATGTGTGATATCCTCCACCTCTGGTGCTCCACAAATACAAAATCGTTCGTTGTACGGGACTTGATTAAACCTTCCGTGCTTGTCCATTGTATCCAGCTGTTCAAAACGAGCTCTGGTAAATACCCTCCTAAGGTGTTTAGGCATTTCTGTTTTTAGATATTGAGCTGTTTGGAAAGTATGTTTAAAGCGGCCTAGCCATTTCAGTGAGCCAGCTTTACTGTCTTTTTGGCCTTCTATATCCAATACTCGTTGAGCAACTATTTTTGGGTCTAACTCTTCTAAGAGATTCGGATACCGAGTCGGAAGTCCACAGCTCCTGATGTATTTTGTCAGGAGAACTAACCAAGAGGTCTGATGTTGATTTTCTATCTGCTCTAACAGGCACAGTTTGGGGAGTCTATCATTTTCCATGGCCATCAGTTTTGCCCAGTAGTTGTAGGCCCTGATTTTGGATAAGCCATCCACTGTGTGTACTCCCAGTTCCGCTCTTACTGCGGCAGCTGGGGTCGTCCTGTCCACTCCTAGGAAACTTCGCAGGTGCTGTGATTGTGATTGCTCTAATAATGGTACCTGGTTTAGACCCCAAACTTCAGCTCCGTACAAGAGCATGGGAGTAACCTTTGCTTTATATACTTTGAGAAGTGGGTCTAAGGATCCTGGTTGGTTGTGATTTGTCAGTTTAAGTAGTTGAAAAATGGGGGCAGAGCCTAAGTGTTCTAGAGGGGAAAGTGTCCTTTTAAAACAGAGGCTTGAGGTCCCAGTTGGTCAGTTGGAGTGGAAGTTTGGGTGTTAGAGGGAGAGGAAGAGTTGGTGTTAGTTCAGAATGAGTTTGGGTTTAGAGAAGAAGATTGGGTTAGTCTTTTGTGAGGTATTCAGTGTAGCTATTAGTAGATAGCTAGAATACTGTTGTGGAGCAGTGTCCAGTTAGTGGACTGTTCAAATCCAAGAGAAGTCTAGTTCAGGGTATTTTTGGCTAGATTCCTAAAGATCAGTTTTGGGAATTACTTTCAGAGATTAATTTCCTGAAGTAATTTTCTGTGGTGAAACTTTTGAAGTCTTGTAACCCAGAAGAGTTTAAAATTTTAATCTAATGCAACCACAAGCTTTTCATGCCAGAACTTTCTGAAACCATCAAGCATGTGTACTTGAATTAATTCAAGCCTGTTCAATAAACATTCTTGTTCTTTTATTAACTTATACCAGCCTCAGTGTGTGTACCTTTGTGGTCAAAGTATTCTTAAAGTCAGTTTCACAGCAGCCACTAAAAAACTATAGTGGCCCAGTGTGTGTTATAGAACAAACTCACAATATTACCTCAGCCTGATTATTATTGGAATGGTGGCAGCAGAATTCATTTGAAGAATCATTTAAAATATCTCAAGTTTAGTGATTCCCAGTGCTTACCTTTTAAAATATTAAGTGTATCTCCCCTTCTCTGATCTAAATTCCCCTGATAGTGTTATATTTCAGTGGGATATATTTCAACAACTAACTTAAAAGGAAATTCCAATCTATACAACTGTTTCAGCAACCATACTCCCTCTTCCTTTTGACGGCTTCATATTTTTGGTGAGCCGCATCATATTTTAGGTGGTGCCTGTCGTTGTACACAGCTTCAACAATTTTATAACTTGCTATCACTAAATTATTATGGGGCACAACCTCTTCCTACTCCAATTCAAATCACTCACAGATCTAACTCTAGATCCCAATTCTACCATTTATTCTCCCTGTCAATCACAACTAATAATTCCTTGCCCAAGAATAACCTATAAAATTAATTGAGTGGCCATAAGTAAGCACATACACACACACAAACAGACAGGCATATTTAGATCAGGAAAACCAATTACCTCATTCTTATTTTTTCTATTATATAAAGAGCCAGTGTGGTTTTAAGGTTTGAGTGTTGGACTAAATCTCTAGAGACCAGACTTCAAATTCCTGCTCAGTCATGGAACACCACTGGGTAATCTTGGGTCTCAGAAGAAGACAAAGATAAAATCTCTCCTAAGTCATCGTGCCAAGAAAACCTTGCGACAGGTTCACCTTAGGGTTCCCATAAGTGTGAAACAACTTCAAAGCACACAAAAATACAGATTAAGAATTCCATTATGGAACTCACTTATGTAAAAAATAGAGCTGAACTAGTCTATATTTTCTGATAGCATCTTCCAACTTTGTCACCTCTACAACCGCTAGCATTTTACTATCTTAGCTACATGTGACATAATCCATAGAAAAAGTATATCAGCAGTTTGAAAAGTATGGTCCATCTTATTAAGTAAGAATTTCTCTCTCATCGTCTCCCTATCATATTATGTTTTCAACCTTGACATAACAAATCCAAATGTTCCCTTCAGTACTGCACAAACCACTAGGGGTCATCCTCTCTACCCTTAATGATTACTTGGAGGCGGCAATGGGAAGCTCAGTAAGCTGGTCCAGGGCAAATACCGCCTTCATTTCAAAAGCATTTTCAAAAGGCATATTTACTAGAACTAGCTTCTCTGAATTCAGGGGCTCTTGTTCCCTTTTGCTACAGCCATAAAGTAGAAATTATTGCTTTGGAGAATATAGCTGATCACATTTCTGTTCTCATAAACTGCTTTAGCAATGTAATTGTAGTAAGAAATGCAATGTAGGTGAAAAGACTGCAACACATTACTTTCTTTCAATGGGGAAGGGTGGTAGGTGGATCTCATTTCATCCATTTTTTTACAGATGCGGTCAATGCCTGGTGTCTTATCTATCATATCTCCTACATCCCTTAAAAAGGTCCACAAATAAATAAGTGCCTTTGCTGGTCCTGTGTCTATGTGCATTGCTATCATGCCACCCTTCTTATGTCCCATAGCCTCAATCTGGATCATTCCTTATACATACAGTCCCCAAGTTACAAACAAGATAAGTTCTGTAGGTTTGTTCTCAAGTTGAATTTGTATGTAAGTCAGAACAGGTACATTTTAAGAGTAACTTTAGCCATATAAATAAACTTTGGAAGCATAGGGAAGAGTTAATACCCCTGTTGTGTTTGTTTTGGTGCCTGTACCCCTGTTCAGAAGATTTCACCTCACTTTCTGTCCCTCTGATAACTGGGTTTTGAAAAATTTGGCTTGCTGTGGAAACAAGGATTATTTACGACATTTATATCCCGCCTTTCTCACTCCGAAGGGGACTCAGTGGCTTACAAGATGTATTTTGTATTATATTATATATTATGCATGCCCAGTGTGGAACACATCTCACCACACTAAAACAGTGGATGTGGCTCTGAATGAGACATGCCGCATTATCACAGGGTGTCTGCGCCCTACACCACTGGAGAAATTACACTGCTTAGCCGGTATTGCACCACCTGACATCCGCCGGGAAGTAGCAGCCAATAGTGAAAGGACCAAGGCAGAGACATCTCCAGCTCATCCCCTGTTTGGGTATCAGCCAGCACGTCAACGACTTAAATCTAGAAATAGTTTTCTAAGATCTACAGAGACATTCACTGGAACACCTCAGCAAGCGAGAGTCCAAAAGTGGCAGGCTCAAACCCAGAACTCAACCAATGGCTGATACCAAATGAGAGACTCCCTCCTGGGCACACAGAAGACTGGGCAACTTGGAAGGCACTGAACAGACTACGCTCTGGCACCACGAGATGCAGAGCCAACCCTGAGAAATGGGGCTACAAAGTGGAATCCTCGACATGCGAGTGTGGAGAAGAGCAAACCACTGACCACCTGCTGCAATGCAACCTGAGCCCTGCCACATGCACAATGGAGGACCTTCTTGCAGCAACACCAGAAGCACTCCAAGTGGCCAGATACTGGTCAAAGGACATTTAACCAACTACCAAACTCACAAGTTTTATATTTGTCTGTTTGTTTGCTTTGTTCTGTTAGAAATGTAATATAATTGACTGGTTGCCCCAACACGACAAATAAAAATCAAGGGAAAACTGTTCCATCATGGGTTGAACAGGTTCCACTTGCTTGATGTCTTGCCTTAGAGCAGGGGTCCACAAACTTTTTAAACAGAGGGCCAGGTCACAGTCCCTTAAACTGTTGGAGGGCCGGATTATAATTTGAAAACAAAAATGAATGAATTTCTATGCACACTGCACATATATTATTTATAGTGCAAAAACACTTTAAAACAATACAATAATTAAAACAAAAAACAATTTTAACAAATATAAACATATTAATATTTCAATGGGAAGTGTGAGACTGCTTTTGGCTGATTAGATAGGATTGTTGTTGTTGTTGTTGTTGTGTGCTTGTGAGTCATTTCAGACTAAGGTTGACCCTGAGTGAGAGCTGGGTAAATGACCTTGGAGGGCCGTATACGGTCCTCGGGCCTTAGTTTGAGGACCCCTGCCTTAGAGGATCCAGGTTAGAAGCTGCTCTTGAGCAGATAGGTTGAAGGGAAGATCAAGTAAATGGGCATGATATACTGCCTGAATAATCCTGACACATATGAGCATCATGGAAATTCTGCTCTGTGCCAGTCTACAGCCGAATAATATTTTGTAAGATATTTTGAGTGGTATAAGGTAATTTCAAACAAACAAATAAACACAATTTTTCATCTAGCTTGGCTCACAAATATGATCTGCTGGATGCCTGGCAACCTGAACATGGATATTAAAATGTTAGATCTTGGATCCTTTCGTTGAAGTAAGTTATGCAAACTCAGAAATTCTTAACTTACTCTTTTTTGGCCCCTCCTGTGCGTTTTCATGGTCTTCTTAGATTGCTGCAACCCAAGTTTGGTGCTCTTGAAAGACTCCAAGCGCCTTCTCATGGTTCGGCGGAAAATCTCCTTGTACTGCTTATCATCTTCATTTGGAGTTATTTCATGGCGACTATACAGAAGTTTGTGCTGCAGCCAAGACCAAAAAGAGAACCAGAAGTTACACGCCACCGTAAATGTTTGATTCTTACCAATCTATTAAAAAATTGTTGTGACTCCCTCCATAACATAAAACAATAGCCAAATCTACGAAATCAACAATGTTTAGTAAAAACTCTGTTGGAAACAGTTGCAATTATATAGAACATGCAAATGCATTCTTCTCACACACACAAGAAAAAAAAATACTCAAATCAGATCTCCCAAAGGAGATTTTAAAGCATTTACAGTGTGTCCATATTTCAGAGGAAGAGGTAGATGGAAAGATTTGCAACCTCCATTTCAGAGTTTTGAAGCTGCAGAAAAATGTAGCTCTCCTACTTCAGATTAGATTTGGGATCTTTGGAGCATAAGAAGTGCTCCAATATCTGCTGGAATTTAGCAACAGGGGAAACTGCAGATTTGGCTTCTGGGAAACCATGTAAAACCTTTTGGAAGAACTCAAAAGGTGCTGTACAAGGCCTGTATTCTGTATCAGCTATTTGGGTCCCTTCTACACTACTATATACAATCCAGATTATCTGCTTTGAACGGAATTACATGGAAGTAGACCCATATAATCCAGTTCAATGTAGATAATGAGGATTATCCGCTTTGATAATCTGGATTTTACGTCAGTGTAGAAGGGCCTCAGTTAAATAATCTCTCATGGTCCAACTCCCTAAAATCTGAGGCAAATGTTATTCATCTGAGTCTAGATTATTGACAGAATTGAGGTCCTTCTTCCCATGCAGCAGGTCCCCAGTCAAGGAGTGGGTGGGAATAGCGACCATAGCATCACAGTATTGATCATGAATATGGAACAGATGCCTAGATTTACTCACCATAACTGTTCCATATTCAGAATACTTGTCCAAATTTCTCACCATTAACTTGCTTCTACTTTTGCAAACACAAGTATAAGAACAAATCTGGATTTAGTTTAATGTTTTTCATATATTCCTTCTACAGGTGAAAAAAAAATAACTTCTAGGTATCAAGGGATGCTTTTTCAATTCAATTTCACCCTAAACATCCAAAAGTAGAATAGTTGTGTCCGACTTCAAGTATTGTGGACGGTGTGCTCTCACCTCTTGCCGGGGTTTGTACAGATATTGTTGTAGGGTATGGTGGGTGAACATATCTTCAGCATCTCTGATACTTTTCCTTCTCTCTTCTAGGGCTTGCATGTCAAGGCAGACAGAGCTGACACTCCCTCTCCTGTAAAAAAAGGTTATGGTTTGTTGCTTTCTACTTACTAACTACGAAACTGACAAATCTTGCCCCCATGGTACATTTCTAGAGAAGATCCAGCTTCCAATTCAGAATTACCATTAGTTGAAAATGCAAAAGAAGCCAGCAAAAACTGGTTTTTCGCTTTGAAACATATTTTTCCTTTGAATATACAGTAATGAATTCTGGGTTATCATAAATGTGCAGGTTCGTGAAGTTATTCCACTGTTGCAAAGGCTAATTTCGGAGTATTGTCGAAGGCTTTCATGGCCAGAATCACTGGGTTGTTGTAGGTTTTTTCGGGCTATATGGCCATGTTTTAGAGGCATTCTTTCTTGACGTTTCGCCTGCATCTATGGCAAGCATCCTCAGAGGTAGTGAGGTCTGTTGGAACTAGGAAAATGGGTTTATATATCTGTGGAATGACCAGGGTGGAACAAAGAACTCTTGTCTGCTGGAGCTAGGGGAAACAATCAGGGACATCTAATCACCTCTCAACAAAAGATTGCCCCAGGCACCAACAAGCCACGCCAAACAACTGCTAGGCCATCAAATGCTAATCAAGGTGGTCAGTTGAAACATTCACACCTAGCTCCAGCAGACAAGAGTCCTTTGTTCCACCCTGGTCATTCCACAGATATATAAACCCATTTTCCTGGTTCCAACAGACTTCATCCCTCTAAGGATGCTTGCCATAGATGCCTCTAGAACATGGCCAAAGAGCCTGAAAAAACCTACAACAACCCAGCTAAATTCTGAGGTCGTTTGGGAAAAGGTTTTCTCAACCCCACCACCTTCCAAAGGAACATTTGACGTGAAAGTGAGAGAAGGTCTTGTCCATGGCTGCTCCCATACAAAGGCAAGCTGGCCTCCTCTTTACTTTTCTTCCATTGACAGGCAGACATTATCTCTTTCAAACAGCTTTTGGCACTGGTTACAGAATATGGGTTTTTAATGCGGAGTTGTGCTGTACTTTTTTCTTTGTTGTGTTTTAAATATTTTTAAATGGTCTTTAATTTAGTTTGAATATACCACAATTACATAGTGAGATTTTTAAATTTTGATTTTAACGGTATTATGTCACAACCATTGTTGTAAAGTGCTTTGGGTCAAACATTAAAAGATAACCAGAATATCAACTAGACAAGCAAACAAACTAGAATAGCTATCCTATGTATTATTTTTTATTTAAAAACATATTTTAATGAAAAGGTGGGGAAAATGCAAGATTTTTTAAAAAACTAATAGTTGAATGCAGGATTCTCATTTAGTGCTCCCAAACAAATCAGAATTTGGAAATAAAAAACAAAACTTAAGTTTAAAGTCTTGTTTTTCAAATTAAAGACTAAACCAGAATTTCTCTATCCAATTTAATTTATTGACTTGGACAAATTGGGAGGAACCAAGTGATAGGAAAGGAGATTTATGTGTTGGTACTCAGCTCATTCATAGTAATCCAGGATTTGACATAATATTTTGATGTAGGGGATTTAAAAGTGATGAACTTTGCCCGAATTTTTACAGAAATGCACACTTTCATTTTGTCCCTCCAGTTGCTGATTCGTGAAATATTAGATTTCAAGCCACTGACAGACATAAAACATAGGGTAAGCTTCTCATCTACTTACAGTAGCTGCGAGACAGAAGTGTCTCCATTCATTTGATTGATAATACTGAAGTCCACATTAGCTGTGTTGTCAATACTTGGGGAACGGATGAATGCCAGAGAACCTCTTCGCTCTCCCTGTTCAACAAAGAACACACACACACACACTTCACCATAGTTTTCAGGCAGAAATTCAAAAGGGATATTGACACTAAAAATTATGTAATATGGGATAATGCTTCTCCAAACTATAACACATTTGTCATAAATAATTTTATACTTGGTTGGCAATGCTTCCTTTTTCTTCCAAAGTTTTACATTTCTTATATGTGTATTGTTGTCACACGTTTCGTGGGTAGCCAGCCTCTCCCCTTCTGACATCCCTGTTGCCTCGGCACTATAAGAGAGTTTCACGAAACCAGTCCCTCTCATTGCAATGGTGTAGTAATGGTGAGGGCGTTCATAATGTCATAATTCATCCTTCAGATAATTCAGAGAGGAGGAGGCAGATTTCCATAAATCTGCATCTCCCGTCAACAATGATCTTTCAAAACCCAAGAAACCAAGGGTCCAACTCCCTGGCAGCTTATCAATCCTCCTTCATGGCAATTAGAAGTACTTTTCAGGTTTTCCTGGAGTAGACTTTTGACCATACTCAAGTATTGTAGGAAGCAATATAGCACATTTATTTATTTTGTCGAAGGCTTTCATGGCTGGAATCACTGGGTTGTTGTAGGTTTTTTTGGGCTATATGGCCATGTTCTAGAGGCATTCTCTCCTGACGTTTCGCCTGCATCTATGGCAAGCATCCTCAGAGGTACCTCACTACCTCTGAGGATGCTTGCCATAGATGCAGGCGAAACATCAGGAGAGAATGCCTCTAGAACATGGCCATATAGCCCAAAAAAAAAACCCCTACAACAACATATTTATTTATTTATTTATTTATTTATTTATTTATTTATTTGCTATATTTCTATACTGCCCTTCTCAGACCTTAGGCGACTCAGGGCAGTTTACAATGGCAACGATTCAATGCCCAAAAACACCATAAAACATTTTAAAACATTAACACATAATATAAAACAATAACAAGAATACTAAAAGAATACATCATTTGCGTCTCCTAATAAAAACATTGTCCCATTTGACAAAATAAAACCTCATTGTCTTATGAATCATAATCATTTGGTAACAATATATTTTATTTAAAATGGATGAGTTTTAAGCTCTTGAAGAAGTTTGTTTTTTTAAGATTGCAGCAAGGGCTGAGCTAGGAATACTCCCAGTAAAAGCTCAAATTTTAATGAGACAGTTTAATTACTGGTCAAAAGTAAACTCTATGGATCCCAGTAGACTTCCTCGCCTATGTCTAGAGGATCAAGTCCAGCATGACCAGAAGTCATTGTGGATGGCGGCTCTGAATAATGAGCTGGCTAGATTCGGTCTGCTTTTGCAATTTCTGGGTGCTCTGGGTTCGGGGGCAGGCAAGTGCTCAAGCGGCGCATTAGGGATGTTTATGCACAGCTGGACCTAGAGAGCATAGGTAGGTCTTCAGCCACAAGGTTTTTAGCTTCCCACAAAAGGAATATTCATTTAGAGCATTACCTAACTATTCCACTTCCTCTACCCTTAAGAAGAATATATACTAGGGCTAGGTTTGAACAACTCGGTATTATGATGCAAACCGGGCGCTACTGTAACATCCCAAGAAGTGAGAGATTCTGCGTCTGGGGAGAACAAACAGTGGAAGACATTGAACATTTCTTAACTGACTGTCCAGCATACACTGAACTGCGAGACAGATATTTACATCCAATATTATCCAACTGCAGGTCCCCCAACAGAAATGATATTCTGACATCCCTCTTGCAAGGGCAGGAAAGATCCAGCATAATCAGAGTAAGTCTTTTTATTCTGAAAGCTATTAAGAAAAGAGCAGATTTCCTGAAAGAAGAACCAGGAAAATAAGATTCTGATTTATCACCTTGTTGCTTTGTTTTTTACTCGTGTTCTATTTTGAAATGGTCATATGACTGATCAAATAAATAAATATTATTATTTTTAAGATTGCAATAATCAACTTTATTTGATAATAAACTTTATTTATATATCCTGCCCCATCTCCCCAAAAGGTCTTGGGGCAGCTTGCAACATAAATAAATACAATGAATAATATATGCAAAGTAAAAATAAACCAGTTAATAACATGACAAATCAATTCAGAGACAAAATAAAACAAAATAAATGAATTAAACAAAAGGCAGTATAAAACTTCAGTTAAAACACTAAATATAAGTTAAATATAAGTTAAATAAATTTAATATAAGTTAAATAAATTTAAAAGCCACTAAATATGAATTTTTCCATTTACTATATAGTATAAGTGCATTATGCTGTTGTGCCAAACCAAAAGAGGCATCTTTGTATGGTATGACTCTCAATATCACAGTATAATCTAGAAAAAAGGAACCATTTGATAACATTTAACACCACCACTTCAAGTTGCCCATTGATGTATGGCAACCCAATGAATTTTCTAAGATTTCCTTAGACAAGGGATATGGAGAGGTGGTTTTGCCAGTCCTTTCACTTAATGGTCCTGTGAGGAAGCGTAAAATTACTGCTACCAATTTGTAAATGTTTGTAAAGGAGCCACCACTTTGTGAGGGTTTATTTAATTGATAGCTAATATTATTGATTTGGTCTTTCTTCTGTGTAGCATGACTGAACTTGGAAAGGAAATGTAACAGGGACAAGGCTTTAGGAAAAACAGTAACAAGTTTATTGAAATGTAGAAGAAGCGTGATGGATTCATATCTTCAAAGGCACATATCTTCAAAGGTTACATTTATAACTTTTCTTAAACAACTCTGGAAAGGAATCTTCCTTCCACTAAACAGGTTTCAAACTTTGTTTCTTTCTTTAATAGATTACTTCAGATACAAGCTTATTCTTTCTTTATGATGTTTCTGTTACAATAGAGACTCTCACTGGGTTTCTCTCACCCTTTCTCTCAACACTATTAATATAAATAAGCCCACTCAACTTATTTAAACTACTCAAGCTAAAAGCCCAAACCTCCCTGATTCTTACTACAGTAGAATCAGTCCTTTCCCTGTAGTTTTTAAACTACAGATCCCTTCTGCTTCTCTCTACTCAACAGAACCAGCCTCCCCTACAGTTCACAGACTGTAGACTATTTCCCTGATTCTCCTCCTAGAGAATCAGTCCTCTCCTGTAGCTCTCCGACTACAGACTAACTGTTTAAAATGGCTGCCTTGCCAAGCGGCAGTTGGCTCCGCCCCTGTTTCAATGGTAACCCAGCTCAACATAAGCTGAGCTGGCTGCCTTCTCTCTTGGTTATGCAACTTTTAATACTTACCCTTTAAACATCTGTCTATAATTATACATAACCGCAAGTTAAAATTTACACTCCACCACAGGTCGTAAACAAGTTTCTAAATGTTGCATTAAAATCATTATGATGAAAAATGCTCAATTGAGGACACACACACACACACACTAAATTACTAATCTAATTACAAATTCAAGCAAGATAAATATTTGTTTTATCATTTAGGATTACCTCTGCTACATAGCTGATGGCATCCTTCAAATTGAGTTCACGGAAAACTTTAAGAATCTGGTCTCTGGTTTTCTGAGCAGACCTTCTCATCAGTAATTTGCTGAGTACTTGTCTGTCAAAATTCAACCACCTAATGATATAAGCACAAAATATGAAGCTGCTATAAATTAAATGGACATGTTTAGCATTTTCATGTTGATATAACCAAGACTGGCACCTCATTTCAAGCACTACTTCAGTGTAATGAAGTAGGCCTTCCAATGGAGTGGGCCTTCCATTATTTTCCTGCATGGATTGGACAATGGATTGGACAATGTGGCCCATGTGATGTCTTCCAACTCTATTATTCTATGATTCTATTGTTGGACTGCAACTCCCAGAAGTCCTAGCCAGGATAGTCAATTATGAGGAATGCTGGGAGCTACAGTTCAACAATATCTAGAGAGCTACATGATATCCAGTAGGCATGTGCAACCATGGTTCTAAATGATTCTAAAGTACTTACAAAACTAAAGTTCTGGTGGTGAAAACTAGGGGGCGCTGGTGCTTTGCTTCTACAGTGTTGTTAAAAGTTCTGGTGGTGAAAATGTCAGAACTCTTACAAAACTTTCAAAATTTCATTATTATTTCATTATTGGTGATTTTTATGTCAGAACCTATTAGGAACTGCCATTTATAATGACATTTTGAAAATTGTTTTAGAGTTCTGAAAGTTTCACCAGCAGAATTTTAGTTTTGTAAGTACTTTAGACCCATTTAGAACCATGATTGCACATGCCTAATATCCAGTCCTGGTATGATGATTCTTTACATGTTTAGTCAGACGTAAGTCCCATTATATAGAATGGGTTTTTCTCCCATGAAATTGGCCATAGAAGTGCAGTCTCAATCAGAGTTTGGAATAGTTTGGAAGAGTTTGGAAGACTGGATAGCCTTACTTGTTCTTTTTTTCTAATGAGGACATTCAAATTTTTTTTCTTTAAACATCAGGCTGATATTGTTTCTTTTTCCACGTAATAAGTATTGTCTAATTTGTTGCATTTTCCTCATTACTTTTTAGAAGCAAACATGTTTTTGCTTCTAAATTTAAAATTTTGTATTTTAAACTTTCACATTTTCATTTTTTTAAATCAACATTTAATGTAATGAGTTACTAAAATGTTCTGGGTTTTTTCAGACTTAGTAGCAACAAATTACTAGTTGGGGCTACAATAAATTGTGAAGAAAACTCTGAAGCTCTGGTCTCAGTAAGTTTAACACTTTGAATATGCTTCTAGTCATTCAAAAAAATGATAAAGTAGCGGAGGCAACTACCAGGATGGCTGTGGGGATTTACCTGCAGGACTGCAGAAGTGGTCCTGGGAGTTAATTCCCACAAGCCCAGCACCTCAAAAGATCCAGACCTTAACTTAAGGTCTGGATCTTTCCAGATGTTTTATTAATCCAGAAAAAAACTGGGAAAACCCAGTTTTTTCCATATGAATTTGCTTTTACTGAGGCTTCATTTGGTTATACGCAAGACAGGTCCCACGTTTTGGGCCTGTCTGGAAGGGCCCTCAGTATAAAGTGTAGTTATCTTACTAACATAATCAAACTGTTTTTCTGTTTGCTTGGTCATTAGAAGACCATGTGTCTATTACATTTTGCTATTTTAGTCACATTTTCCATTCATTTATAAACTGTTCCCTTTAAGTAAGATAAAACAGTCTGCTTCTACATACTTGTCTCTCAGGTAATTGTGTCCTATTTGGCCAGATATATCTTCAATAGCGGAAAGAATGTGGTCAAAAGCCTGCGAAAACAAAGAACATAGCATTGGTTGGATAATTGGACAGGGTGCTACAGAAAATGTACATGTAAACAGTGGCCAGGTCTAGACAGTGGACACACCCAGTTACAATCATAAGAGTTATTTTTCATATGAGTCAATACATCTGAAAAACCTGGGAACATGATTCTGTACCTGACCTCCAGCAGGAGAATTCCTCATAGCACTGCAACCTTTCTTGTGATACTACCATGTGCGTGATTACTGTGTCAGAAAAAGTGCAACAGACCAGTCCACACTCAGAGACAAGATCTGATATTTCCATACTTTAAATAGAAGATTACAGCAATCCCATTGTGAAGACTTCCTCTTTGTTGTCTGATATTCTATTCAATCTAGTATGCTGCCACCATCTGTGAGGTACTAGGCTATGTTACCACCAACCAACAAGGGTTTATTAATGGATTCGCCTATTTCTAATAGATTCACTGCTACACTCTGTAGTGTTTCTTTTGGTGTGCAGCGAGGTTTTTTCCTTTTTCTTTGAAATAGTACACTGAGGCTTGAGTTACTAAAACAAGAACAAGTTTATTTGGAGTATGGAAGGGTCTTAATGGTTTCGGAGTTTTCTTCTCCTGACGTATAAAGTTTCACGAGTTACAGTTTCAATAAATCTTAATGTAAGATGTCTTTTACTTCACCAACTAGTTCTTTAGTTGTTGCACTTCTAAATATGTTTCATTATTTGACAGATTAACTAAGGTCAGCTAATGCCCTTGTCTCCCTTCAGCTTCCTACTGAAGTAAAGATTCCCAGTAGGATTTCTTCTCCTATTAGTACACAGCTAAACCACCAACCTAAATAAGTCCCCTTTGACTTATTTAAATCACTCAGGCTAAAAGCTTTCCCTTAGTTTGGTTCACCACACGTTTGAACCACCTTCCCTTTGGTTCGATGACCAAAGGACTGAAGCCTCAAAATGCCTGCTTCTGGTAAGTGCAGTTGGCTCCACCCCTTTCTCCATGGCAACCTAACTCAGAGTGCTGAGCTTGGTCCCATCCCCCTATTTCTGCCATTTCTAAATGGTTAACCCTTTATGTACATCCATGACTGTCTTTTACCTCCTGAACACATACATGTAATAATATCTAACTACCCAAGCATATATACAATACATACATACAATCATATTTAACTGTAGAGACACATATACATAACTATGCTTAACTTACAGATAAAAATCAATGCTTGATCACACCCATCTACCACAGTTATTTACAACATTCGCTAGAGGAGTAGTGACCTTGGGGAAAAACTGGGCGTTTCAAGGAAATACATTGGAAAGCTTTTAACTTGCTACTGGATCACACTGGGAGATGGAATCATACGAAGGTTCATCCCACAATTCTAAAAGAGGTCTTGTGGCCTTTTGCTTTCTATGAAGGAACATATCTTAATCAACAACTAAGCATTCTGACTTGATACTTTGGGGTAGTTCAATAGAAATGTGGGGTCAGAAAATTGGCCTCGTTGGGAATCCGAAGAACCATTCCCTACACCACAGTTCCACCTGAGAATACAGTTTCACTACTGCAACAGATTCATTTGATCACATGCCTCATTATCAGTATAATGACAGCATTGTTAGAAAATAGCTATTTTTTGAAGGAAAACTATACAAGATTTCAGACTTTTCCCCACTGGCATCCGGTTGGTGCAGTGGGTTAACCCCCTGTGCTGGCAGGACTGAAGCCCGACAGGTCGCAGGTTCGAATCCAGGGAGAGCACGGATGAGCTCCCTTTATCAGCTCCAGCTTCTCATGCAGGGACATGAGAGAAGCCTCCCACAAGGATGATAAAACATCAAAACATCCAGGTCTCCCCTGGGCAACGTCTTTGCAGACAGCCAATTCTCTCACACCAGAAGCAACTTGCAGTTTCTCAAGTCACTCCTGACATGACAAAAAACATCGGGTTGATCGTGACCCTGCTTACCCTGCCATGGAGCTTCTCATTCAGTTTGGGTTCTCTGTGCTCACTTCTTTTCACTTTCAGCCATTGGACCAAAGGCTTGATAGTCAAACCCTGTGGGAGGAAACAGACACATTTATCTCATTTGATTTACAAGAATCTGTATGCAATGCTGCACACGTTACAGATAAAGGAAGTCTTGAGATAACCCATCTACGACACCAATTAAAAACCTTAATTTTTGGCAAAAGGCTATGGTTGGGCAAATGATACAACCTGAAATCTGAAAGTGAAGAGTGACTTAGGGTGCTTCCAGACAGCAGGAAACTGCAGCGAAAATGGATTAAAGTAACCCATTTTTACCCACATTCCTGCCCACACCGCCCACTCCAAACTCTGGGTTTCAGATGTTATCACAACTGTAGTTGTCAACAACGCTACAAACCTCAAATTTAGGCCCTAAAACTAACCTAAAGCTGCTGCCAGGCATGGAACCTGCTTGTAAGTTCTTCTGGTGCACCAAAATGGCTCATGAGGAGGACAGGAAGAGGGGAAATCTTAAATTTTAGGGCCTGAATTTGGAGTTTGGGCAAAGGGAGTGGGTGCTCTCTTAGTTTTTTGGTCTCACAGAGCCCAAACAACCAAGATGGCTGTGTAGATTGGGCCCAAGGATCTTGTGATGTGGTCCCCTAGCCCAATCCTCACAGGGCCCACACTAGGTAAAGCTCAGGTCTTACCTAAGATCTACCACAAACTGTGGTAGACTATGAAATATTCACTTAAAAACTATAGCAAAAAGTGCTGCAGGATGTTTAATAAACTTTTCCAATGTTTTTATGACATAAATAATTAGGAAATGACATTTACAACCTAGGAACAAAAAATAATGTTACATAGTGTAATATTAATAATAAGCATTGTGTATTGTCCATACTTCAAGAAATAAAGCCTGGCTGCTCATTGGAGGGAAAAATAATAGAGGCCAAGATGAAGTATTTGGCCACATCATGAGAAGAAAGGAAAGCTTAGAGAAGAGTATGATGCTGGGGAAAATGGAAGGAAAAAGGAAGAGGGGCCGACCAAGGGCAAGATGGATGGATGGTATCCTTGAAGTGACTGGATTGACCTTGAAGGAGCTGGGGGTGGTGACGACTGACAGGGAGCTCTGGCGTGGACTGGTCCATGAAGTCACGAACAGTCGGAAACGACTGAACGAATGAACAACAACATTGTGTATTGTGTTACATCCCTTACTTTATAAAGATTACTAGAAGAAATCTAAATCATTCAGCAGACCAGTATTACTAAACTAAATTCCAGGTTGCTGATCTACAATGAAGTAGTAGAAAGACATAATTTCTCCTCATTTATGAACAGTATTAACAATTTTATTTATATTTGAAAATGTAGTGCTTGCTTTGCTCACATAAGTCTCTCATCATCTATTAATACACTCAGCTCTGACATGGAAACGTGAGTTTTTAGTGCAGAGAAAATTGTGTTTTGTCCCAAGAGATAGCTTTTCAAAACATTAAATAGGATCTCTGTTACTAAAATTATAAAGATAATTATACTCTTAGCTCACTGACATAATGTAAAGCCCACATTGAGCAGATGCTTTTGCTACTGCACGGGGCATGGTATAAGGAAGAAGTATTTGCTTGTGTATGTCTACTGTCCTTCTCTCCCTATCTGCTGTTTTCTAAGTATGGCTATCAGTCTTAAGGAAGGTTTCATTTTGTGAATCCAGCAATCAGTAGGTCAGGGTCATAGCCAAAGGACAGGACAAGAGAAGAGGGAAGAGGGAAGCATGGACTATTGCTTCCCAGGGTGCATCTACACTGTAGACCAGTGGTTCTCAACCTGGGGTCCCCAGATGTTTTTGGCCTACAACTCCCAGCCAATTTACCAGCTGTTAGGATTTCTGGGAGTTGAAGGCCAAAAACATCTGGGGACCCCAGGTTGAGAACCACTGCTGATGCAGGTTGACACCACTTTAACTGCCACGGCTCAATGCTATGGAATCCTGAGATTTATAGTTGATGGCACCAGCACTCTTTGTAGAGTTCAACTGTAAAATTGCAGCTTCCATAATTCTGTACCATTGGGCATGTCAGTTAAAGTGGTGTCAAACTGCATTAATTCTACAATGCGGATGCACATCCAGACTGGATTTAGAAAGTAATGTTAATCCAAAACTTTGGATTTCTCTTCTAATGGGAAAAATTGCTGAAAAATTGTGTACCTGAATTATTACAGTAAAAAACACAACAATGATTGTTGTGCTGACAAATAGGTTTCTGTCCTTGACTTTGTGTCCATCCAAAAGGACCACCAAAGCAAAAGCAACTGCACCACGGAGGCCACCATAGGACATCACCACTTGGTCTATTATCCCCAGCTGGACCATTCGGAAGTGGTTCAAGACCCATGTCTGCAAAATTACACCTGTTAAAACAAATTTGTCAGAGTTACAAAAGTCTTCATGAGCATATTGATTTTTTGCTAGAAAATATAAGAGATACAACTACTGCAGGATCGTAAAGCAATAGTTTTTACCAAACCAGAAATCTTCATTCCTAGAAGAGACAAATTTGTATACTCTGGCGAGATCTGGCATGTATCTTAGGCCCCTTCTACACTGCCATATAAAATCCAGATTATCTTCTTTGAACAGGATTAAATGGCAGTGTAGGCTCATATAACCCAGTTCAAAGCAGATAATGTGGATTATTTGCTTTCATAACCTGGATTATATGGCAGTGTTGAAGGGGCCTGAGTGACTTGCTGAAGAAATCAGAACAATATTTTCTATATTTTCAGCTGTAGTAACATATTGTTACAAGCCCTTCACCTTCTCTTTTGGTGTGGATCTATATTGCCACATATTTATTTATTTATTTATTTTGTATACTGCTTTTCTCAGCCCTCGGGCGACTCAAAGCGGTTAACAATAGCAAAATTCAATGCTCAAAACATGCTTAAAAACAATTAAAACAATAGAGTAATAAACAATCAATTAAACATCAATATAACATCTCATTAGCGTCTCATAGTTAGAATCAAGATTCAGTCTCATCATCCATTGTTCCATATTCCTGTATTCAATACACTACCTATTCAAATGCCTGCTCGAACAACCAGGCCTTCACTTTCCTCCGAAACGCTAACAGGGAGGGGGGCGATCTAATTTCTGTAGGAAGGGCATTCCACAGCCGAGGGGCCACCACTGAGAAGGCCCTGTCTCTCGTCCCCACCAGACGTACTTGTGATGCAGGCAGGACCAAGAGCAGGGCCTCCTCAGATGATCTTAACATCCTAGCTGGTTCATAGGAGGAGATGCGTTCGGACAGGTAAGTTGGGCCAGAACATATCCAGTTTCAGAAACCAGACTACCTGTTTTCGACTGGATTATGTGAGTCTACACTGCTGTATAATCCAGTTCAAAGCATTTTTACCCCACCTTGGGTGAGAAAGGCAGGGTAAAATGGCAGTGTAGATGTGGCCTTAGTGTCCTATTAAGTTGCATGCTGACTAGATGAGTGTTGCAATGAGCAGCACAGACAGAACTCTCTTGCTGGGTCAATACACTTGTCTTAAGCCCTATCTGCACTGCCAGATAAAATCCAGATTATCTGCTTTGAACCGGATTGTAAGGCAATGTAGACTAAAATAATCCAGTTCAAATCAGATAATGTGGATTATCTACTTTGATAATCTGGATTATATGGCAGCGTAGAAGGGGCCTCAGATAATGACTGCAACTCAAGATTTATCTTTTAGGATGTTGACAAGTAATCAGTGCCCTGGTAGATCATTTGAAACTGTGATTGAATAGGTTCAGAATTTTGGCTGTGATATAGAATTGGGAAAATGTGGCAGAAGTGTCTAAAATGTACATTTTCAAATAATCTTAAAGAGAATGTCTTTAAAATGATGTTTCGATGACACCAAACACCCTAAAAATATCAAAAAAATATGTAAAGGGGAAAATAATAAATTATGCCATGTGAAGTTCATTAAGAGTCTTATTTCCACATGTTGTGGGCCTATAAAAAGGCCAAAAAATTACAAAAACAAATTCATGGGGTAATCTAAGAAATGTTTAAGACAGGCCAGGATTTACATTACTAGGACCATGATAGAATGATGTTACTAAAGATTATCCCACTCAGACCCATCATGAGTGCCATTGGATCCCCCAACGTACAACTTAGCAAAAATTTTAGCTGCACAGTTACAAACCCACTATGCACTACATCAAGGACTCAGCCCACTTCATAGAAAAAAAATAGTAACCTCAAGCTAAATACCAAAAACAAACTGATCAGCTTTGATGTGGTGTCCCTATGTACCATGGTCCCGGTAGCAAATACCACTGCAGTAATCAACCAGAAGTTCCCAGAAGACATCACAGCTCTGTTTCACCATTGTGTCACACCAGCTACTTTCAGTAGGACAATGAATTCTATGAACAGAAAGATGGAGTAGCTATGCGGAGCCCTCTCAGCCCGGTCATAGCAAATTTCTACATGGAACACTTTGAAAAACAAGCCCTGGAAACAAAAAAGGCCACTATATGGTTCTGATATGTGGATAACATTTTCACCATTTGACACTTTCACCATTCCAGGACCATATTAACAGCATCCAACCAAACAGCCAATTCACCATGGAAAAAGAAAATGAAGGAAAACTGCCTTTTCTAGATGTCCTAGTCATCCGTAAACCAGATCAACAATTGGGTCACACAGTTTACAGAAAACCTACACACACAGATAGATACCTACATTAAAACTCCAACCATCACCCAAGTCAAAAAAGAAGCACCATTAAAGCCTTGTCAGGCGGGAAAAAAGAATCTGCGAACCCCACCTCCTCCAAGATGAACTGAACCACCTAAACTGGGCTTTACATGCCAATGGATACTCCACCTCAGACATCAGAAGAGCTGCAAGACTGAGAACAAGCCACGAGAGTAAAGACAAAGATCCACTCAGAGGAAAAAGAGTTCTTGCCATACATCAAGGGAACTACTAACCGCATAGGGAAACTGATGAGGAAACACAACATACAAACTATCCACAGACCCACTAAGAAAATCCAACAAATGCTATGTTCAGCAAATGACAAGAGGGATCTCCTCACCTCTGCAGGAGTCTACCATGTACCATGCAGCTGTGGACATGTCTACATAGGGACCACCAAACGCAGCATTGCCCAAACACGAATCAAGGAACATGAAAGGCACGGCAGACTACTTCAACCAGAGAAGTCAGAGCAGCTGATGAACCAACCTGGATACAGCATATTATTTGAGAACACAGAAATGCTGGACCACTCTCACAACCACCATGTCAGACTACACAGAGAAGCCATTGAAATCCATAAGCATGTGGACAATTTCAACAGAAAGGAGGAAACCATGAAAATGAACAAAATCTGGCTACCAGTGTTAAAAAATCTCTAAAATTATAACAGCAAAACAACACCCAAACACAGGGAAACTCTAGAGAGGGAACAATCAGGGACAGCCAATCACCTCTCAACAAATTATTCCCTCAGGCACTAACAAGCCACACCAAAAAACTGCCAGGTCATCAAATGCTAATCAAGGTGGCCAGTTGAAACATTCACACCTAGCTCCAACAGACAAGACTTTTTTGTCACACCCTGGACATTCCACATATATATAAACCCAGTTTTTCTAGTTCCAACAGACCTCACAACCACTGAGGATGCTTGCCATAGATGCAGGCGAAACGTCAGGAGAGAATGCCTCTAGAACAGGGGTATTCAAACTAAGGCCCGAGGGCCAGATACGGCCTTCCAAGGTCATTTACCCGGCCCTCGCTCAGGGTCAACCTAAGTCTGAAACTACTTGAAAGCACACAACAACCATAACAATCCTATCTCATCAACCAAAGGCACTTCCCATTGAAAGACTAATAAGTGTATATTTGTCAAAATTGTTCTTCATTTTAATTATTGTATTGTTTTTAAGTGGTTTTTGCACTACAAATAATATATGTGCAGTGTTCACAGGAATATATTCTTTTTTTTCCTTCAAATTATAATCTGGCCCTCCAACAGTTTGAGGGACTGTGACCTGGCCCTCGGTTTAAAAAGTTTGAGGATCCCCGCTCTAGAACATGGCCATATAGCCCGAAAAAACCTACAACAATTTATTATCAGCTTTGACCTCTGTTCTTCTCAGCAAAAAGGAGGAATAAAGACTGTGCTTGATCTAGGACAAGCTTTTGAAATATCCATGAGGAAGCTTCTCGGTTTTGTTTGGCAGTGGAGGAATATTAATGAGATTTGGGGGTTGGGGGTGGGACGGGAAGCATTTCTTACCGATGGCTCTGTAGACAAAAATGAAGACTAATGTCAAAAGTATAAAAGCTGTGTTCCAAGTCCAGATAGAAGGATCAACGGCAGAAATTCCAAGGAACATGAAAATAATGGTCTCTGCACCACTAGCCAGCATCTTCATAGTGTACCTCACAGTGGTAGCAGACTGTTCTGAAATATTTGCCTTGACATATTTCTGACAGCAGATCCCACAGAAGGTTATCCTGCAAGAAAGGGAAACAAACACCACAATTAGGCATCCTTCTAGAATCACAGAATCATAGTTGGAAGAGACCCTGTGGGCTATCCAGTCCAACCTTCTGCCAAGAAGCAGGAAAATCACATTCAAAGCACCCCCGACAGGTGGCCATCGAGCCTCTGTTGAGCCTCCACCACACCAGGGCAGAGTTCCACTGCTGAACAGCTCTCACAGTTAGGAAGTTCTTCCTCATAGAATCATAGAATCAAAGAGTTGGAAGAGACCTCATGGGCCATCCAGTCCAACCCCCTGCCAAGAAGCAGGAATATTGCATTCAAATCACCCCTGACAGATGGCCATCCAGCCTCTATTTAAAAGCTTCCAAAGAAGGAGCCTCCACCACACTCCGGGGCAGAGAGTTCCACTGCTGAACGGCTCTCACAATCAGGAAGTTCTTCCTCATGTTCAAGTGGAATCTCCTTTGCTTTAGTTTGAAGCCATTGTTCCGTTTTCTAGTCTCCAGGGCAGAAAAAAACAAACTTGCTCCCTCCTCTCTATGACTTCCCCTCACATATTTATACATGGCCATCATGTCTCCTCTCAGCCGTCTCTTCTGAAGACTAAACATGCCCAGCTCTTTAAGCCACTCCTCATAGGACATGGTCTCCAGACCCTTGATCATTTTAGACACCCTCCTAAGGACACATTAAAGCTTGTTAGCATCTCCATTCAACTGCAATGTCCAGAATTGGACACAGTATTCCAGGTGTGGTCTGACCAAGCTAGAACAGAGGGGTAGAATGATCTAGACACTAGACTTGATGCAGGCCAAAATCCCATTGGCTTTTTGACTTCTAATAAGTTTGACTTAAATGCAATGTGTTTTCTTTATTATAGCCTACCTATACTTTATAAACAACTGTTTGGGCTACAGAGGCATTTCTCTGAGGCTGAATCTACACTGCTATATAAAATCCAGATTATTTGCTTTCAAATGGTTTACACTATGTAACGAATTTTTTTCTTGTTATACTCCAGAAACTTCATTTTGTGGCTGCCACAAACTATGCTGAATTGCTTGAGACTTTATGAGATATCTACCCCTGTTTAAGGAACTCCATTGGCTGCCGTTCATTTTCCTGTCTTAATTCAAGGTGCAGGTTCTTACCTACAAAGCCCTGAATGATTTGGGACCTGCCTACCTGCGTGACCGCATTTCTGTTTACGAACCCACGCAATCTTTTCGATCATCTGGAGAGGCCCTGCTCTCTCTCCCACCCACTTTGCAGGCACGATTGGTGGGGACGAGGGAGAGGGCCTTCTCTATGGTGGCCCCCCGACTCTGGAACTCACTCCCCAAGAATATCAGACAAGCCCCACACTGGCAGTCTTTAGGAGGAACCTGAAAATGTGCCTTCCCTGAATAAAGGAAACAATGCCCTGCTCTGATTAATTCTCTGCAATTGTCTTCAATTAATTCTCTGCAATTGTTGGGTTGGTCTCCCTACATTATCTTTTAAAACCCTCCTGCTTAGATACATCCTACCTCTGTTCACACCCAGTGTTTGTTTTAAAAAATTTAATTTATTACATCTGGCCCAACCATAAGGTTTTAAATTTTGTATGTTATTGCTTATATGGGAGTTATATTAATTGTATTGTTTTATTTGCTTACTGCTCTGTTGTTTTACTGATGTGTTGTTGGGCTTGGCCTCATGTAAGCCACCCCAAGTCCCCTTGGGGAGATGGTGGCGGGGTATAAATAAAGTATTATTATTATTATTATTATTATTATTATTATTAATAATTGAACGATAGCAAAATGTGCTGATTGATGTTCTGCAAAAAAAAAGTTTTTGCTGTTTAATACACTTTCCCCCAAATTTAATGCTAGAACCATTTAGGAAATGACATTTATAACTAAAGAACCAAAATTGTGTTACACAGTGTTACATGGCAGTCATAAAATCCAGTTCAAAGAAAATAATGTGGATTATATGGTAGTGTAGATCCAGACTGACTTGCTGACCTGTCGCAGGCCAGATCCTCTGCTTGGGTCATTCGAGCCAACGTTTTGAAGGCCACAGCTTTTCTCTGTGTCTTTCTTAAAGCAATTGTACTAATGAATACCTGGCACTGTGAACTATATTTCAAAAGAAGAAACTTACAAACCACCTCGGAGATTTTCTTACTTAAGAAAGCCCTATAAAAAATTCATGGTATCACCCATTTTGAAGGCGCATACGAAGACAGACATACCATCCCATATTACATGCAGGAAACCACACTGTATTAAACAATACATAAAAGTATGGTTGTATTTGACAACTCAACAAAGAGATTTGGGATTATACGTATATCCCAGGAATATGACATGCAAATAATTACTTTCTGCTTTACATAAGACCAAATTTCATACTGTTTCTGGCTAATTCCTAAATGTGGTCAATAGTCTTAGAATCATAGAATCATAGAATCAAAGAGTTGGAAGAGACCTCATGGGCCATCCAGTCCAACCCCCTGCCAAGAAGCAGGAATATTGCATTCAAATCACCCCTGACAGATGGCCATCCAGCCTCTGTTTAAAATCTTCCAAAGAAGGAGCCTCCACCACACTCTGGGGCAGAGAGTTCCACTGCTGAACAGCTCTCACAGTCAGGAAGTTCTTCCTCGTGTTCAGATGGAATCTCCTTTCTTGTAGTTTGAAGCCATTGTTTCGCGTCCTAGTCTCCAGGGAAGCAGAAAACAAGCTTGCTCCTCCCTGTGGCTTCCTCTCACATGAAATCTTCAGAAGTAGGCAGTGGCCAGCTCATTCTAGGGAGCTCATGTCCCATGTCTTGCAGGTCTTTAGCTCGCAGCAGGTCTCAGAGTTTGGGAACTTCCTACTCAAAGTTCTCACAATTTGTTCAATATTTGTTTGTTTATTAACACAGATAGCCCATTATTTTAGTACAGTTTGATGTTACAATCGTTTTTAAATTTCTCTAGTAACACTAGCAATGAATTCATTAACTGAAACTTACGCAAGGATGGCAGAAAGCGAGAGCATTTCAGCAGTCAGATAAGACAAGTAGGAGACGACGAATACAAATCCAGGCTCTATGATTCTGACGTGTTTTGTAAAACGGGTGATGAATGAGAGCAGTAATGCGAAGATAACACCAATGAGAGTGCCGCCAATGCTCACCACGAAGAAAGATACTGTAACAAAAATAACATACAAATTGTACTGCATTTTAATAGCAATGCTTACCTGCATCCCATCATTTTTAATCTTTGCTTTCTGATGACTAATAACGTCAGAAAGATAGTGTTACTTTTTTCCACACAAGAGTATAACCAACTTTCTAAATTATTTATCTACTAGCTGTACCCTCCCTCTTTCTCTCCTTCTTTCCCTCCCTCTTTTTCTTTCCCTTCTTCTTTCTTCCTTCTCTACCTGTTTCTTTTCTCGCTTCCTTTGCTCTTTGGTTCCATCCTTCCTTGTCTCTTTCCTTCCTTCCTTCCTTCCTTCCTTCCTCTCCTTCCTTCCTTCTTCCCTTCTTCCTTCCTTCCTCCCTTCCTCCTCTTCCCTCCCTTCCTTCCTTTCCCTTCCTCCCTCCTCTTTTCCTTCCCTTCCTTCCTCTTTCACTTTTATTTTCTTCTTCCTTCCTTCTCTACATTTCTTTCTTTCCTTCCCTCCTCTCCTTTCCTCTTCCCTCTTTCTCTCCTTCCTTCCTTCTCTACCCTTCTTTCTTTCCTTCCTTCTCTCCTTCCCTCCTTCTTTCCCTCCTTCTCCTTCCTGTGTACGTGTTTTGTGTGTGTATATGCATATATGTGTGCATATATGTGTGTTTGTGTATATATATATGTGGTTTTGCGCATGCGTTGTATTGTATTTGCGGAGGGTTGCTTTTTGAGTCTCTTCTGCTGTGTTTTTCAGTGTTTTGTGAGTGATGGTCACTTGTTGGCCTGGTAGCTGTATTGTGTCCAAATTTGGTGTCAATTCGTCCAGTGGTTTTTGAGTTATCTTAATCCCACAAATGAATATTACATTTTTATTTATATAGATTTTGGTGATTTAATGTCCTGATGAAACCTACATGATGTAGTGGTTAGAGCATCAGGCTCTACCAGGGTTCAAATTCCTGGTGAAACTTAAATACCCATTGGCCCACCTCACACTCTCTCAGCCTCAGAGGAAGGTAATGGCAAATCCCCTCTGGACAAACCTTGTTGGAAAACCCCATGATAGATTCATCTTAGAGTTGCCATAGATTGGAAATGTCTTGAAGGCACAGAATAACAACAAATATCCTGATGATGAGATAATTCCATATTCCACATGTATGTGCGTGTGTGTGTGTGTGCACATGCACACCGTCCATGAGTTCCCTCAAGGTTGCTTCCAAGTATGTGCATAGGATAAAGCCTTTATTATTCTTGGGAGAGCTCAATGACAATAACTGTCCTGATATTTCTTAGAGCTTGATCATTTAGTGCACTTCATATTTCTGCTTTCTGAGAAGGCTCAACTACTTTGGAGTCTTGGCCCGATGCTGTCAGCTCGTTCTAGAGCACTCATGTCCCATGCCCAGACTTTGTGTGTGCGCTCATGTTTTAGAGTCCATGGTCAAAACTAAGTGTAAGCCGCTTGAGTCTCCTATATAGTGAAGACAGAAGTGTGACCCACTTAAGTCTGATATACAGCAAATGAGGAGCCTGTGGCTAATGATAAGAATCCATGGTAGATCAGTATCCTCACAAACATCTTCCCCTACATAGTCAAGCACTTCCCATTCTGCATCTATCCAAGGACACATAAAGTAAAACAGGCAAAGAACCTAGAGGAGAACACTGACATTAAGGAAAGCAAGTTAACCATTTCAGAAGCCACACACCTCATGATGGAGATCTGGAGATTAAGGGGGGAAACCAAGGGGCAGCCCTAGATCAGAAAAGGCAGAAAATCCCACATTATGTGAGTGTGGACTCAGATAACTCTGGGCCCGTCCAGACAGGACCATTATTGCAGGAACTCCCGCAATAAATGAGAGACTGTCTAGACAACGGTCTGGGAAGTCCCGAATTAATTCACTACAAACCAGGAAAATAGCGAATTAATTTGATAGTGGATTTATTCAGCGCCTTCTTGGAAGGTCTATTTCTGGGTCTGGACTGCAGAATACTGCAGTCCAAGCATAAATAAGCCTAGTAAACTGTAACCCACCCCTCCCCCAGGTCCCCAGACTCCTTAGAAAACTAATTAAAACTTATATGCCCTCCATTGCTCCCCCCTCCCCCGCTCTCCTGCCGTGTCATTTCTACGTGCCAAGAGAGCTGGCCGAGGCTTCTAATGGAGGACATGTAAGTTTTTATTAGTTTTCTAAGAGGTCTGTGGGCTTGGGGGTAAGGCCTCCACACGTTCTCTCAGGCTAGTCCTGAGAGAACGTCTGGACACCCACCCCAGAAAGCGCACGTTTTCTGGAGTGGGTGTGGACTGGCCCCCAGAAACATCCATGTTTTTTAACCTGGATGCTTCTGGGATAAAGGCCTGTCTGGATCCAGCCTCTGTTCAAAGCAAATATTGTGGGATTTCTGCCTTGATATTCTGAGATATAGGGTTGTGTGGAAGGGGCCCAAGGGACTTTATAACCAGACATCCAGTTATATGATATCCCAGGACTGGCTGGAACAAGAAAACATACTTACCAATGAGCAAGCTGGATTTAGGGAAGGCCAATACACCCTAGACCAATGTCTAGTACTAAAATATCATATAGAAAAAATACTCCTCCCATAACATATCTTCCTTCAATGTCACCTTCATTATAACTGGGAAATGTTCAAAGCTACAGTCCAACACTATCTAGAGGGCAATATGATTTTCACCCTTTTATAGTGTCAATTAAAAGCAATCTCAGGCTGGATCCACACTGCCATAGAATCCAGTTTCTGAATCCAGATTATCTGCTTTGAACTGGATTGTGTTTACACTGCTATATAATCCAGTTCAAAGCAGATAACCTGGATTCAGAAACCCTATTATAAGGCAGTATAGATGGGGTCTCAAATCTTCTCAGGTGGCAGAACACGTGTACCTCTGCAGAGCATCAGAAAGAGAAAAATTCAAAATGTACACATGTAACACTGGCTTTGGCAGTAACCTTACTGCCTTTTGCACATTGGCAATAGTGAGCAAACATTTTCCCTTATCTGTCTTTATGGCTCTCTTCAAGAGGATATAAACATAAAAAGATTGTTACATTTCCAACAAACGGCACAAAATGTACAACACTAGAGTTATTCATAGCATACACACGTGAAATGGCTTTGTAAATTCAGTAAGATTTGACTGAATCATCAACCAGAAATGGGGATTACTTCTTTAAGTGCTCCAAAATTGGCCATAGACAGTGCCCCCCTTCTTTTATCTCCATTGGTCAGCTGGCCCACATTCCTCCCCATCTGCTGGCAGGCAGGATTTCAGATTTGGGGCCCTTCCACATAGCCCTGTATCCCAGAATATCAAGGCAGAAAATCCCACAATATCTGCTTTGAACTGGGTTATCTGAGTCCACACTCAGATATTGCGGGATTTTCTGCCTTGATATTCTGGGATATAGAGCTGTGTGTAAGGGCCCCTGTTTAATAATATCAATGATAACAAAGGGATAAGCAAACAGAACAATGGAGGGACAAAGAAGAGGACCATAGCTTAGAAATGTAAATATTTACGGTGAGGCAGATAATAAGGACATAAAAACAGTGCTCTTGCTGGATATTGTAATAAATGTTTACATCATTTATTATGCTGGAACACCCCAGCAAGCGAGAGTCCAAAAGTGGCAGGCTCAAACCCAGAACCTCAATCAATGGCTGATACCAAATGACTCTCCCCTGGGCACACAGAAGACTGGGCGACTTGGAAGGCGCTGAATAGACTGCGCTCTGGCACCACGAGATGCAGAGCCAATCTTAAGAAATGGGGCTACAAAGTGGAATCCACAACACGCGAGTGTGGAGAAGAGCAAACCACTGACCACCTGCTGCAATACAACCTGAGCCCTGCCACATGCACAATGGAGGAACTCCTTGCGGCAGAGGCACTCCAAGTGGCCAGATACTGGTCAAAGGACATTTAATCAACTACCAAGCTTGCAAATTTTGTGTTTTGTCTGCCTGTTTGTTTGTTTTGTTAAAAATGTAATACAACTGCCTGGTTGCTCCTGACATAATAAATAAAATCATTAAAATTTTACTTTACAGTTGCGATTTGGAAGTAAGGGGCTGCTATGTAGTACTATTTCAGCTAGTTCCTACTCAGGAGAATTGATACCTTTGCTTTACTCTGAGGATAAGAGAAGACTGTGACTTGCCTAAGATCACCCAGTAGCTTTCCATGGTCAAGGGGGGATTTGGACCCTGGTCTCTAGACTCATAATCCAATGCACAAACCAGTAACCTGTCGACTTGTATATTTAAAATAAGCAATAACATTCCCTCCATTACATCCCCATTCCTGCCCAAATATAATGAATTTCACAAGTAGTTTGGGATTACTTCAACTCTCCCCCTCCCCGGTGATGCCAATGATAAATTGGTTCTACTGATTCCTTAAGGTACAACAAATCAAATTACTTTTTTCAAGGAACATTTTAAGCTCAGAGAGGGACAGAGCTGCATCAAGTCTCAGTGTTACAGAGAATTTAAAGGGGAAAACACAATTTTTGTACAATAAAGTTGTCAATTATAAAAATGTGTCACCGGTGGCATTAGGGTTCATTTACTGCTATATGAATGCCATCAATTGAACAGCAGTCATAGTATCCATTCTGGAAGGAGTGAATTTAGACTTTGGATAATGCTACTCATTGGTGGAGAGCAATGTCCAATCTCGATAAAATAGTGAAGAGTAGAGACATTCACACTGGCAATAAAGATCCGAATAGTCAAAGCAATGGTATTCCCCATAGTCACCTACAATGTGACAGTTGGACCTTAGGGAAGGCTGAGCAAAGGAAGATAGATGATTTTGAACTGTGGTGTTGGAGGAAAGTTCTGAGAGTGCCTTGGACCACCAGAAGATCCAACCAGTCCATACTTCAGAAAATAAAGCCCGACTGCTCATTGGAGGGAAGGATAGTAGAGGCAAAGATGAAGTACTTTGGCCGCCTCATGAGAAGAAAGGAAAGCTTAGAGAAGACAATGATGCTGGGGAAAATGGAAGGAAAAAGGAAGAGTGGCCAACCAAGGGCATGATGGATGGATGGCATCCTTGAAGTGACTGGCTTGACTCTGAAGGAGCTGGGGGAGGTGACGGCCGACAGGGTGCTCTGGCTTAGGATGGTCCATGAGGTCACAAAGAGTCGGAAGTGACTGAACGAATGATCAACAACAACTCACTGGACACCAGTCTCTTATACAATAGATTGAAGATACCACATCACCAGCCAAAACTGTAATTCTTTGCAGCAAAAAGAGAACATCCAGGTATTAGCATACATAACTCCATAGGTTATTCCAGATTTAATCTAAGAATCCCATTACAAATGAAATTAAACAAGCAAAATACAGCATGCAGGTTTAATTTTAAAATTCTGAAATGCTGTGTAGCTTCTAAATATTGAGCAGCTGCCAGTGTCTACTTGCTTTTCTATGGTGTTCACTGAAATTTAAAAGTCATACAAAAATAGTAAGATGCACTTAGGATATTTCCCTCTATTATAATACACCAGACGTGTCAGCAGTTATAATCTGGGGCACAAGAAAGCTTTTATCAGAAGACTGTTAGAAAATTAAGGCAGTTACTATAAAAAGAATGGAAGGAAGAGAGAGGAAAATGGAGTGCACAGAAAGGCAATATAGAAAATCTGAATAAAACTATTCAAATTAAAAACAGTTCAAAAACTGAATTTAATATTTGGCTCTAAAATCTGTCAGAAAATACACCAGACGTGTCAGCAGTTACAATCTGGGGCACAAGAAAAGCTTTTATCAGAAGACTATTAACAAATTAAGGCAGTTGCTATAAAAAGAATGGAAGGAAGAGAGAGGAAAAATGGAGTGCACAGAAAGGCAATCTAGAAAATCTGTATAAGAAGAAAACTATTCAAATTAAAAATGGTTTTTAATATTTGTTTCTAAAATCTGTCAGAAAATCAATGCTGTAAAACAAAAATACTGTAGATGGAAAACTAGGAAATAAAGACAATGCAACAAAAAAAAACTTCTTGGGAGGAAAGGGGCTGCAAGCGGAAAAAGTGTGGAATCCTGCTCTAGATCAAGGCTTCTTAAACTTTTCCACTTTAGACCTCTATCAGCCTAAGACATTTTTACATGACCCTAGTATATAAAACAGCTATAAAAATCAAACATTTACTGATAACAAATCAGCATTTGCAAGGCATACTGCTTTTGTTGTAGTACAAAACACACTGCTTTTGTTGTAGTACAGCCTGTAAGTAACGTTGCAAGCAGTAGTATGGGTGCCAGAAGCGGGAAAAGGGTTACTTGTGAGCAGGAGTCTGATGAGGAACAACAGAGGAAAAGGACCTACAGATGAGGACTCATTTGAGGGGTTCTCTGAGGATGAAGGGTCCATGAGTGAAGGAGAGGAGGGAGATACAATGGATGGGAATAGGGGAACAAAGAGGGTTACTTGGGAGTAGGAATCAGATAAGGAGTGACAAAGAAAGAGGATCTGGGATATACTTACAGCACCTACAGAAGAGGAACCATTTGAGGGTTTCTCTGGGGATGATGGGTCACAGAGTGGGGAAAATGGGGATGACACTGTGGATTGGACTAAGGTAAAGGAAGTGCAAGCTGTTTGTGCAGAGCCAACATCTAGTGATACCTCTGGGATTCTCTGGAAGTGAAGACTGGCAATCGGGGAATCCAACTGAGTCTTGGGGGATCTAAGTCTTGACAGGAGATGGAGAAGATGGAGGGATGGCCGTGGGACTTCACGTGAAGAGTTGGGAGCAGATGCAAGGGATAATCATGGGGCGGTGGTCAGCTCATCTGATGAAGATGATGTGTAATAAAAGTGGGCTCTGAAATGGGGAATCTTTGCAGAAGGCAAGGTGTTGGTATACGTTCGTGCATTGGGTACTGTCTGGACTTGTTGCTGCGTGTTCCGCATTGGGTTTGGGATCTGCAGGTTACTGTTACTGTTCGTGTGTGCTTTCGACTCGGCTTGGATTCTCGTGAGTGTGGATTTCCCCCTTCCTTGACCTTGGACCAGTTTGACTTAGACGTTGCTTCTGTGGACTTTGGAACTTCGCTACTTCGGATTCTGCTTGCTACGACCCTGGACTTCGCTTGACTATGCTTTCTTCCTTGTGGCTTCTCTGTTTTGTTAACCATTTGCATGCTGTGCCGTTTTGTGTGACTTTCTGAGTACTTTGTTTAATCCGGTTCTTTTCTCCAGATAATCCGGATTATTACTTTGGTTAACCTTTTAAAACCAGGACTGGTTCTACCTTTGAGTTTTTGACCAGAGGCATTGATCTAAGTGTCTCTGAGTCTTTTTCCTTTGTTTAATAAACTCTGTTTTGGAACTAATTCTGAGTCTGGCCCTTTAAGGCGTCTGTGTTCCGACAGCTTTTCCTTTTTTATGAAGTACAGCTGTCATATCTTTTGCAGAGTCCACTGCAAACACTGCACACAGATTTGTGTAAATATCTAAAAAACAGCTACTAGATGAAATTCAGGAAAAAAATGGAACCCCAACATTGAGCTAAAAGGACCTCATTTGGAGTCGAGACCCAAACTTTAAGAAGCGGTATCCTAGATAAGAAGTGGGAAAAGTGTGCATCCTCAGTATTCATGAACGACAATCAGTATAAAGCAAACCAAGCATAACTAAGGATGAAGCATCGCTAGAACAGCATTCCAACAAAAAAGTTACACTTTCCTCTATTCTGGATTATGCTCCTGGGTACAAATAAGGTATGGTAACATTATTCTTTGCTTATCCTTAGCATGTTTCTTCTTCCTTGTCTGTACCATCAAGCATCAGTGACTGAGCAAAGTCACTTCTCCTTCTCTGAAGATGGTTCAGAGGAGGAGGAGGTGGTTGAAGAAGAAGAACTTTATTTTTCTAATAATAATAATATAATAATAAACTTTATTTATACCCTGCCACCATCTCCCCAATGAGCGGCTTACATGAGGCCAAGAGCGGCTTACATGAGGCCAAACCCAAACAGAAAATTACAATAAAATAAAACCGAAAATGCAAACAATAAACAACAAACAACATAATTACATAAAACATGTGAAAACATAGCAATATAAAATTACAATAGGCACAATGACAATGGGCGGGCTACATGTAATGATTAAAAGGGAGACTGATTAAAACTAATTAAAACTCAGGTGAGATAAGAGAGAGACAGATTATTTGCGGAGAAGGACTCATTATAATGGGGATTGTGGAATCAGGCTTTCCCACAAAAGGAGAGGGGGGGGGACATATACTCCAATGACAAAACAATGAGGCTAAGCAATATTCATCTACCCTGCTTCCATCTCCCCGAAGGGACCCGGGGCGGCTTGCATGGGGCCAAGCCCAAAGCAAAATACAATTAAAACAAACAATAACAATTTAAAATAGCATAACAGTGTAACAAGAATAATAACGGCATTAAAAGCAACAACAGATTGGAAGAAATCATGATTCCCATCCCTCCGAAAGACACCCTCTTAAAGCTAATAGGATTACAACCTTAAATTGTATACAAGAAGATATTGGCATATGACAGACAACGTTGTATTTTGTAATTGCAGCAAGAGCATTTCATGCAAGAAAACAGAGACAGCAGGCATTAGTCTCTAGTGATAAATGGCCAATGTATTAAACTTGTAATATAATAATAGTAAAAATAAATAAAAATAAAATATAACAAAAGCCTACTAACCTATGCCTTTGATACAGTCTCCAGCTGTTATATTTTCTGCTCCTATTGAAACAAATGAGTCAAACACATTGTATAACACCTAAGAGGAAAAGAAAGAGAAGTTTTCATGAATGGATTTTGAATGGAAAAAAACATTTTATGAAATTGGATAAGACTGAAATATCACCTATCAATTTATTTATTTACAGTATTTATATTCTGCACTTCTCACCCTGCAGGGGATTCAGGGTGGATTACAATGTACACATATATGGCAAACATTCAATGCCAAAGACACACAATAGATACAGACAGACAGACACTATTTATCTTTTCTGGCCACCAGGGGAGCTGTTGCTTTCATCGTCCATCTGTGACACTGATGAAGTTTCCGCATTCCCCATATGCTTTGCTGGAATCTTTTTTATGGCCTCATAAATTAGTTAAATTAGCTTCCCCACATATAGGTGGTACCTAATTTTCCTACTTGACAGGTGCAACTGTCTTTTGGGTTGCAAAGGTCGACAACAAGCTACACAATTGGTCGGAAGCTCACTCAAATCTGGGCTGGCTTCGAACTCATGACCTTTTGGTCGGAAGTGATCTTAATACAGCTGACACTCAGCCACCTGTGCCACAGTTTTGATCTATTAATCAAAATGTATATAGAACTAATAAAATACAGGTTGCCAACTGGGGCTGGCTACAGGGAACGTACAACTTCTATAATGCAGCAGCTCCACCGGTGGTCAATCTGTTTCTGGGCACAATTCAAAGTGCTAGTTTTGATCTGTAAAGTTCTATATGGCTTAGGTCCTGGTTATTTGAAGAACTTTATCTCTCTAGAAATCTGTTAGAAATGTATGATTCTCTTGGGAGGGTGTTCTCTCTGTCCCATCACCCTCTGAAGCACCTTTGGTGGGAAAAAGAGAGGGATTTTTTGGTGGTGGCTCCCAGACTCTGGAACTCCCTCCCAAGAGACATCAGGAGGGCCCTGTCCCTGGTTGCTTTTTGCAGGCAAATCAAGACATGTATCTGCTGTCAGGCATTTGGGGGACGATGTTGCTGGGGAAGTTGTAGGTGGGATTTTGGGAGGTTGGTGGGATTGGTATTTCTTGTATTTTAACTGAATTTTAACTTCTGTATCCATCTATAAATATTTAATTGGTTTTTTAAATTTTTTGTGTCTTATTTTCATTTTTATTATGCATGTTTATTTGTTAGCTGCCTTGAGTCATCATGGAATAAAAACAAAGTTAATAATAATAATAATAATAATAATAATAATAATAATAATAAGTGCAATGTGAGTACCCAGTGTATTTCTGACTGACACAGTTCCATCACTTATTCATTCAAACTCTTAATTTTCAAAGAGAATCATACCACAGTTACTGCATCGTTAAGCAGTGATTCTCCAAAAACAATGATGAAGAGGACATCATTGACATGGACTTCTTCAAACACAGCCAGCACCGCAACAGGGTCTACTGCAGCTATTAGACTGCCGAACAGGAGAAAATCCAGCCATCCACTTTGAAGTTCACCTAAAAGACCAAGCCAAATATGACAAAAAGATTAACCTATTCCTTAAAATAGGTTGGGCATACTTACAATGAGCTATATCTATGCTCATCTAAGGGCGGATCCAGAGAGGCCTTTATTCCAGGAGATCTTCCTGGGGGCCTGTTCACACCTCCCCCTACCGAAAGTGCACAATTTCTGAGATGGGTGTCCAGATGCTCTCGTGGGATTGGCCCACGAGAACATCTGGAGGCCTTACCCCCCTCTCCTGAAGTCCCCAAACCTCTTTGAAAAGTAAAATAAACTTACCTGGCCTCCAGTACACTCATAGAATCATAGAATCAAAGAGTTGGAAGAGACCTCATGGGCCATCCAGTCCAACCCCCTGCCAAGAAGCAGGAATATTGCATTCAAATCACCCCTGACAAATGGCCATCCAGCCTCTGCTTAAAAGCTTCCAAAGAAGGAGCCTCCACCACACTCCGGGGCCGAGAGTTCCACTGCTGAACGGCTCTCACAGTCAGGAAGTTCTTCCTAATGTTCAGATGGAATCTCCTCTCTTGTAGTTTGAAGCCATTGTGCGTCCTAGTCTCCAAGGAAGCAGAAAACAAGCTTGCTCCCTCCTCCCTGTGGCTTCCTCTCACATATTTATACATGGCTATCATATCTCCTCTCAGCCTTCTCTTCTTCAGGCTAAACATGCCCAGTTCCCTAAGCCGCTCCTCATAGGTCTTGTTCTCCAGACCCTTGATCATTTTAGTCGCCCTCCTCTGGACACATTCCAGCTTGAGAGAGCAATATAATTCCAGCCCTTCTATGCGTCGGGAGAGCTGCTCCAAGAGTGTACTGGAGGCCGGGTACTTTTTCTTTACTTTTCAAAGGGGTTTGGAGGCTTTAGGAGAGAGTGATGGGTATTCCCACAGTTTTCCTGACAAATTTAGTCCAGAAAACTGTGGGAATGGTGTCTGGACTGCAGGAAGAATTAATATCCTTATGGTGTTTTGCTATCTGTGCCTCTATTCAGAAGATTTCACCTCAATTGCTGTCACTGTGATAATTGAATTTTGGAAAAAAATGGCTTGTTCTGCAAACAAGGATTGACGATATAGCTTAAGTGGAGACACCTTTTCCCCATAATAACTCTTCCAGGGGTGAATTTCCCTTTCTGGGGGTGGATTTTTCTCACTTCCTGTTGTCTCACCCCCGTTCTTAACTATAAGTTTCTTATAATTCGGATCTTTGTAAGACAAACATCCTAGCTAGTTTTTTATTAGAATATTGATGGTGGTGAATTCTTTGTAACAAATTCTGTAACGTGACATCCACATCTATTGAACTGCTGACTTTCAACCAAATGAGATTAAACAATAACCGGGGCCATATAAAAAGCACAATTCCATGGTCTTCCCTTCATTGCAAAATTTAGAAAGGCACTTACTCAATAGATTGGAATGGAAGCATCTATCAAAAGAAGGGAAGGGAAGACCTGTTTTTGGAGAGCAATCACTGTTACAGACCATTTATCTTTTTATAGGTTACCAATTATGTACTTGTTATAATCTTGAAGAAGCTAGTAAGCTAATATTTATGGGAATATTGTCGCTTCAGCGTCCTTTCTATTGCATCTAATTGCACCCACAGACTAAAATATCACAAAATTAAATAGAGAACACAATTTCCCAGAATGTGCAAATCTCTATTTTACTGATGTCCTGAAGGCTGCAATAATAATGACACCAGTAATGAAAATAAAAGAAAAAAGCAGGAGGTAACAAGGAAGCTCTCCTCTTCCCACTTCCATTCTAGTTCAATATATTTAACATAGCACCACCAAGCATCACAAGGTAGACATTTGTTTCACAATGGCAAAAAAGAGAAATCTTCTTGGTAGTAGTTCTGGGGTTTGGAGCGTAACTCTTTCCCTAGACTACATGAGGACAAAGATGCTTTTTCGCCTATTTTGAATCTATATAAATAAAAATGTAATGTTCATTTGTGGGATTAACAGAACTCAAACACCACTGGACGAATGGACATCAAATTGGGACCAAGATACCTAACAACCCAATGTATGCCCTTCACTCAAAAAAAATGATTTTGTCATTTGGGTGTTGTAGTTGCTGGGATTTATAGTTCACCTATAATCAAAGAGCATTCAGAATCCCACCAACGATGGAATTGAACAAAACTTGGCACACAGGCCTCCCATGACCAACAGAAAGTACTGGAATGGTTTGGTGGGCAGATTCCTTTGGTTTTGGAGTTGTAGTTCACCTACATCCAGAGATCACTGTGGACTCAAAACCACTGGATGAATTGACACCAAATTTGGACACAAGACACCTAACAACCCAATGTATGCCCTTCACTCAAAGAAAATGATTTTGTCATTTGGGAGTTGTAGTTGCTGGGATTTATAGTTCACCTACAATCAAAGAGCATTCTGAACCCCACCAACGATGGAATTGAACCAAACTTGGCACACATTTCTCCCATGACCAACAGAAAATACTGGAAGGGTTTGGTGGGCAGTGTCCTTTGGTTTTGGAGTTGTAGTTCACCTACATCCAGAGATCACTGTGGACTCAAACAATGATTGATCTGGACCAAACCCCACACAAATACTCAGTATGCCCAAATGTGAACACTGATGGAGTTTGGGGAAAATAGAAACTTGACATTTGGGAGTTCAGTTCACTTCACTTCACTTTATTTCTTAATTAGTCGCTCTCCACCAAGGTGCTCCGAGCGACTTACAATTTAAAATAGCATTTACACAATATAAAAACATTCAACATAAAAACATACAACAGTGACTATTTGGCAAATTAGATCTGATCACTTAAATGCACAACCAAACAGCCAAGTCTTGAGCGCCTTTACAAAAGGTCGCAACTCCGACATTGCTCTAATCTATGGAGGCAATGAGTTCCACAGAATTGGAGCATAGATCGAAAAAGCTCTACACCGTGTAGCTTCCAGGTGTACCTCCCTAGGGCCTGGTATATATAGGAGATTTTCTTGGGTGGATCGAGGTAACCACTGATGGGAAAAAGGAATGAGGCGGTCCCTAAGATATAAAGGTCCTTGGCCATTTTGAGCTCTAAATGTCAGGATCAGTATCTTGTAAGAGATCCAATGTTCTATTGGTAGCCAATGCAATTGTTGCAGAATCAGTGTAATATGTGATCTTATAGATGATATGGGTGTAATATGGGATCTTATACTTGCTGGGATTTATAGTTCACCTACAATCACAGAGCATTCTGAGCCCCACCACTGATAGAATTGGGCCAAACCTCCCACACAGAACCCCCATGAGGGCCACAGCAATGCGTGGCAGGGAACGGCTAGTATCACATAAAATGTATAGAATTAAGAGGGCTTGCTGGCAGTGACTGCTTGACTGCTCACAAAGGAAGGCAACAGCAATCCTTCACAGTTAATTTCAGGACAATTATTGTAAATTAAATCTTAACACAAACATCAAGAGGCTTGAAAATCTTTAATGTTACCAGTATGGCAGCCTAGATTTAGTGTAACTTTAGAAGCAAGAGTAAACCTAACTTTGGTTATGCAACCAGACCTTGACAAGTAACCAGAGAAGTTTAACCTCTTTTAAATGCAAAGATTATCATTTTCTCAGACTCTCGATGTTTACTGTGCAAATCACAGAACCATATGGTTGGATACACTCCAGACTAAAGATGCATCTACACCAGGGATCCTCAAACAAAGTCCCGGGGGCTGGATACGGCCCTCCAAGGTCATTTACTTGGCTCTCACTTTGGGTCAACCTAAGTCTGAAACGACTTGAAAGCACACAACAACAATAATCCTATCTCATCAGCCAAAAGCAGGTCCACACTTCCCATTGAAATACTAATAAGCTTATATTTATTAAAATTGTTCTTCATTTTAATTATTGCATTGTTTTAAAGTGGGTTTTTTTTGCACTCCAACAGTTTGAGGGACTGTGACCTGGCCCTCTGTATAAAAAGTTTGTGGACCCCTGGTCTACACTGTAGAATGAGTACAGTGTGACATCACTTTAACTGCTATGCCTCAATGTTATGGAATCCCGGGAGTTGTGGTTTGAGCCTTCTGGTGCCTCACCAAACTACAAAACCTATGATTCCATAGCAGTGACCCATACCATTTAAATTGGTGTCAAACTGCATTAATTTTGCAATGCAGATAGACTCTAGATTCATCCCATTGATGCAAAAAACTCTATTCCTACCACATTTCTTGCTAAGTGGCCATCTAGCTTTTGGTTAAAATCCCCAACACAAGGGTGTGCATCACTTCATGAAGAGGTTTGTTTCACTGTCAAACAACTCTTACCTTTGGTCACTTGTTGGCCAGATAGGTGTATTTTGTCCAAATTTGGTCTCAATTAATCCCACAAACAAACATTACATTTTTATTTATATAGATTAGTATTTCAATTGGAAGTGTGGGCCTGATTTTGGGTGATGAGATAGGATGGTTGCTGTTGTTGTGTGCTTTCAGGTCGTTTCAGACTTAGGTTGACCCTGAGCGAGGGCCAGCTAAATGACCTTGGAGGGCCGTATCCGGCCCTCAGGCCTTAGTTTGAGGACCCCCGGTTTAGATTCTATACTCTGTAGTATCAGAGAACAATTTTGTTCCAATATCTATGTGGCAGCTTTCAGATGACCATTATATTGTCTCTTCATATTCTCTAGCATCTTTGACCCTCTGCTCTGGAGATACTCCAGGGTTTCAGGGTTGTGTGCATTTTTTGAACACTCTTCTTAAATGACATCTCTAAGCGACCAACAGATATGCTGGATGAACAACATTTGAACCTTGCTGATCGAATTTTTCCTTGATTTTAATGTTATGTATTACATGTGTATATTGTGAACCGCTCCGAGCCTTTGGGGAGTGGCGGTATATAAAATTGATTAATAAATAAATAAATATATCTATTTTCTTGTATCTAGCAGAATTTCTGAGGTCAAAGAAATAAAACTATCAACACCCAACATAACTTTGGCTCGAGTATATATAGTATTTGGATGCAAAAAAGACCCCAGGGATGCATTACAGAGCACATTACTCCAGAAAAGTTGGGGGGGGGGAATTAGATACGACCCTTGTCAGAAGAAAACTACACACAAAAGAAACTGAAACTGAATTAATATGAGTGGTTGCTTGTTCCAACAATGACCCTCTGAGGTAGAGCAGACCTGATGTGAAAAGATATTCCTGGCCAAATGAAGGATGAGCCATCAGCTAGTAATTTGTCTTACCCATTATTCCGCTGAGATACACTCCGTACAGAGAAAGGCCTGTGGTGGCAGCATTCCAGATGGTCCCAACCACAGCATAGAGAAGAATTGTGCCCAAGTTGCCGAAGAAGAGCCGGTTTGGCATGAAGTATCCTGCATCTAAGACGATGGGTGGCAGCAGGTAGAAGAAAAAGACATTTGGTGTAAGGGTGAAGGAGGCGATATGGTCAGCTGCAAGCACGATGCCACCCAGGAGAAGGCCAAGGATAATGAGCAGAACACTCTCTGGAACCACAGTGGTGACTTTATGGGACAGATGGAAGACTGTCAAAGAACAAAATGGTTTAGAGTTAGAATTCAAAAACACATTTCTAGCTGGCAAATAAACATATAAAAGAATATTTATCTTGGTTCCTCACTACCTCTGAGGATGCTTGCCATAGATGGAGGCGAAATGTCAGGAGAGAATGCCTCTAGAAGATGGCCATATTAGCCCGAAAAAATCTACAACAACCCAGTGATTCCGGCCATGAAAGCCTTCGACAATACAATATTTATCTTAATAAATCACTCTGGCAGTCTCACAATTAGAAAAAAATCACACTGTAGTATACATTCATACTAGAAATGTCCTTTACTGCCACTTGCTATAGTCCTAATGCTCTGGGACAGTGTTTCTCAATTATTCATTTTATATTCCCCACCATTCATTCTGTCAGGGAACCTGAGTTCTCTAACATGATCAAACAAAAGAACATCTACCTTTCCAAGAAGGTCCACTGATATGCTGTTAGGCAATCTGCTATTATATTTATAATTACGGCAAATAGTTAAGTCACAGTAAGTAGCATTATAATTTTATACACAGACAAATACTTCTACGAGTTGTTGCAAATATAGAATCATAGAAACACAGAGTTTGAAGAGACATCATGGGCCATCCAGTCCAACCCCCTGCCAAGAAGCAGGAATATTGCATTCAAAGCACCCCTGACAGATGGCCATCCAGCCTCTGTTTAAAAGCTTCCAAAGAAAAACCCTCCACCACACTCCGGGGCAGAGAGTTCCACTGCTGAACAGCTCTCACAGTCAGGAAGTTCTTCCTAATGTTCAGATGGAATCTCCTTTCTTGTAGTTTGAAGCCGTTGTTCCATTGCGTCCTACTCTCCAGGGCAGCAGAAACCAAGCTTGCTCCCTCCTCTCTGTGACTTCCCCTCACATATTTATACATTTATTTATTTATAATTCAAACTTATATGCCGCCACTCCCCTGGGGCTTGGAGCGGCTTACAAGAACAGGCTAAAATCTAACACAATTTAAAAACAATTTAAGAGCAACTTAAAAACAAAATGGCTATCATGTCTCCTCTCAGCCTTCTCTTCAGGCTAAACATGCCCAGCTCTTTAAGCTGCTCCTCATAGGGCTTGTTCTTCAGACCCTTGATCATTTTAGTTGCCCTCCTCTGGACACTTTCCAGCTTGTCAATATCTCTCTTGAATTGTGGTCCCAGAATTGGACACAGTATAGAGGGGTAGCATTACTTCCCTAGGTCTAGACACTATGCTCCTATTGATGCAGGCTAAAATCCCATTGGCTTTTTTTGCCACCGCATCACATTGCTGGCTCATGTTTAACTTGTTGTCCACGCGGACTCCAAGATCTTTTTCACACGTACTGCTCTCGAGCCAGGCATTGTCCCCCATTCTGTATCTTTGCATTTCGTTTTTCCTGCCAAAGTGGAGTATCTTGCATTTGTCCCTGTTGAACTTCATTTTGTTAGTTTTGGCCCATCTCTCTAATCTGTCAAGATCGTTTTGAATCCTGCTCCTGTCCTCTGGAGTATTGGCTATCAACAAATATATTTACTTTTTTCCTTCTCATTGGGAAGCAAAACGTTACACGCACACTCACAAACACACAAAACCCGTATTGCAGTACTGGTTGAAATAAAAAGATCTTTTGTTGTTATTTTTGTTTTAAGCATTTCTAAGCTGGAAGGCCAAGGCCATTCTAACTCAGTTTATATTATAATAAAATAAAAAAATGCAAAATCTGTAAAATAAAATCATATTACATCAGTAGCTAAAACTTTCCAAAAATGTCCAGAGCTAATCCGGTGTCCAACAAGCTGGATTGGCCCCAGGTTTGGGGGCCAGGTAGATCCACCCATAAAGAAATATACAAAAGAGTTCAAGATATTAAGAGATGTAAGCAAAAAAATCAGTGTGTTTGCATCATTTATGTACCAAGTAAGCCATTCAGCCCTAGGTGCTGACCAAATGTACAAGTCTTTCTGCACTTGCTAAGGTTGAAAATGCTCCCATTTACAATAGTTGCTTTTTAAGAAAACGTTTAGTACATAATTTATTCCAGCCTCTCTGCATTTTTTTTCTTTGTCACTCGTTTAATGGTCATTGCTGAGCTCATACAACATTGTAATGAGCTCATTAAATTTCCAATGTAGATGGTTGATTTTTACGGGTCAAGAAGCTTATATTAGCAATTTAAAAAGTAGCCATTATTTTAGGAGCCCCAAGTCACTGTTCCTCATTTGGTCATGATTAAAACTACACGTGCTTCAATTCAAAAGTCAAAGGTCAATTGAATAGGTAAAACCGATTATATTACAACTACATATGCTTTAACTCAGAAGTCAAATGTCAATGAACTAGAACAAACAGTAAGGCCAACCTAATCTCCGATTTAGGAAATCAAAAATTGAAGTTATTTTCGTGGTTGAAAAGAATGTTGTAGTTTAATTCAAATTGACACTGATTATTGTCACCAGACAGTTGAGCCCTATGAAGAGCAAACTACAGACCACCTGCTGCAATGCAACCCGAGCCCTGCCGCATACACAATGGAGGACCTTCTTGCAGTAACACCAGAGGCACTCCAAGTGGCTAGATACTGGTCAAAGGACATTAAATCAACTACTAAGCTTGCAAAGTTTGTAAGTTGCTACGAGTGTCCATAAAACCACATCAGCTGAGTTTCTTGTATAAGGAGAACTGGCATGCATAGAGAAAATGCCCTCCCCCCTCTTTTCTCTTCACACATTTTAGTGCCTCAAATATTAGCCCTGTTTCTGGGTATATTTGACCTGCTGATTCCAAAAATAGCACTCATTTTCCTCTGTCAGCTCTATTTTTGAGATACAGAACATATGCCATCTACTACTGCCATCTGCTCACCCATAGAAAACCATGATAACCATATCCAAGCAACTAGAGCTAGTCTATCCGACACAATTTTCTGAATCAGCATCCCAACTAACCCCAGGAACAGGTCTAAAAACCAAGGCATCAGGGGTTTTTGTTGTTGTTCAGGTGCATAATTCACTTTCATTTGCTTCTAAATACATTTATAAAACTTTTCCATTCACAATCCTTTTCCTCTTCAGAAATTTTTATGGGACCTGATTTAAAATGTTAGCATTTGCAAAGCTTGCTAAACTGACAGATTTCCCTTTTTATGAAGTACAGCTGAAGCATCTTAGGCAAAGTCCGCTGTAAACACTGCACAACAGTTTTGTGTAAATGTCTAATTATTATTATTATTATTATTATTATTATTATCTTTATTTGTACCCCGCTAGCATCTCCTGAAGGACTCAATACAGCCTACAAAGGCCAAGGCCACAATAAAACAACAATATAACAATTACATATAAACCAAAGCAAATCAAAAACATTAAAGCAATAACAGTAAACAATAAAACAACACACCGTGATACAATAAAAACTAGGCCGGGTACAGATTAAAAAGTCCTGAGTGTGCTGAGTGATATATAAGGATTTTTGGATAGGTGCAATGTGCGGACAATCTTAATCTCTAATAAAGTGTTTTTGGGACGTGTTGCTGGGGTTTTTCTATTCTGGAAAGGCACACCGGAATAGCCAGGTCTTCAAGCTCTTCCTAAAGACTGCCAACATAGGGGGTTGTCTGATGTCCTTGGGGAGGGAGTTCCAGAGTTGGGGGGCTACCACAGAGAAGGCCCTGTCCCTCGTCCCCACCAGCCGCACTTGCGACACAGGTGGGATCGTGAGCAGGGCCTCTTCGGATGAACGAAGAGAGTGTGCGGGTTCATAGACAGAGATGCGGTCACGCAGGTAGGCAGGTCCCAAACCATTAAGGGCTTTGTAGGTGAGCACCTGCACCTTGAATTGGGACCGGAAAATGAACGGCAGCCAATTGAGCTCCTTGAACAGGAGGGTTGACCTCTCTCTGTAAGGAGCACCAGTTAACATCCTGGCCGCTGCCCGTTGGACTAGTTGAAATTTCCGAGCCGTTTTCAAGGGCAGCCCCACGTAGAGCGCATTACAGTAGTCCAATCTAGAGGTGACCAAAACAACCATTAGATGGTATTCAGAAAACCTTTTTACTATTACCAAATTTTGTGGGGCCCCAATACTGAGTTAAGGGGACTCCATTTGGGATCATTTAAGAAACAATGGTCTAAAGAAAAAATGAACAAATTTTGACCTCTGGAAAATTTCAGGATCTGTATGGTGTCCACAAACCTGCACATACCTAGTTTACCTGGATTTGCTGCTATGGTGATAAGACTTTGGAACACCTTGCCAAACAAGATCTCATGATGGCCTTTACTAGTTTTAGATATCCTTAAATTGAGCACACATGTTGTAATGCATAGCACTTGTTGTAATAGTACTTTTGATACTTTACTGTATTGTTCGTTTAAATTTAGCAAGCTATTCCCAGTGCCTCTTGGTAGAAGAATAAGGAAAAATATTTTAAAACGAATGCAGGTTTGAGCTCTCCTTAACCAGAATTCTGATGTCCAGAATCCTTCAAAATTCAAAATTGTCCACAAAGGTAGATGACGCCTTCTAAGCATTTAATGCACAAAATTATTAAAAACACTGTAAACAATTGTCTTAGGCTATATGAGTATGCATATGAAAATAAATGTGTTTAGATTTGGATCCCATCTCTAAGATTACGTCATTATGTGTATGTATTTAAACACAAATATACATTTTTTTAAAAAGATACAAAATATGGAACAGTTCTGGTCCCAAGCATTTTGAATAAGGAATGCTAAATCTGTAAAAATAAGAGATCATCTTATTAAATGTGGCAACTTTCATGGTATCCTTTTTAATTTGGTGAGGGTGGAACTAGGAATTGGAACTATCCAAATGAAATAAATTTGAGGTGGCAATTTCTAACATAAATTGATTGATTGCTTAAGAGATCATAATAAAAGCCATTTCTGAAATGCTTCTTTAGCCAAGGAACACTTCTCTTTTATTTTTGGTTAATCACTCAGGGCTGGGTACTTGCAGTGTTTATATTA